TTGGGACTGGCAAATAAATAAATTACAGGATATGAATTCAGGATTGTTGGTGAAATCAAATTAAATTGTTAGTGTTGAAATGACTAGTGTATAATATTAACTTGAATCAGAAAAAATATAGATAAAACAAGGAGGGCGAGATGATGATGTAATCATAAATTAGATCAAGTTTGGATGAAAAATTTATTCGGAAGGATATTTTTTTCGTTTAACTGTTTTTCAATAATTTATCTTCATAACAATTTTAGAACGTTAGACATCAAATTTTAAAATCCTAGTGAGTATGATAAGGATTTAATTAATTGTCGACTAACGGTTGCCAGTCATGACATTAAATATAAACTTTAAAGTTATGTACTATGACAGGGTATATACATTAATATAACAAGAATTCACTTGTTAGGGTTAAGCATTTACTCTGAGTAATTCTTTAAAAATATTTCAAGTTACCAATGTGTTACCTGATCTGTGTATGGGTGCTTTCAGTTTTGTATTTCTTTAGGTCATGATGTGTAGGCGTCTCGAAATGAATACATACAAAAATCGCAACAAATTGTTTAGTAGACATTTATAACTACATACTAGCACAAACAAACAAGAAAATCAATATGAAATGTGTCTGCACACAAATTATAATGATATAAAGTTGAACGTGATCAGAAAGCTATGGTGAATTACATTTCGAAGAAAGTAACCAAAAACAGAAACACAGTCTTAATATTGATGATAAAGTTGTAAATCAAACTTAATATGGTTAGTTTGAAGTACACAGATTGCTAGTTTGAAGGTAATTACGCTGCATTTCTGTAAATGAGTAAGTTTGAGGAAAAAACACCTACTTGTTCGATTCGGAGTATTCGATTTCATGATGAAAGACTAGTAGTCATTAAAATACTTCGGATTGTGATCTTAATCTAATTTATATGGATAAACCGTCTTAAAACAATGATAAGGAGCGAATTGAACAAATAAATATTCATTTTTAATAATCTACGAAGTTGATGAATATATGAGAAAAATAACCTTTAGGTTAAAGCCGACAATGCAAACAAATATCGGTTACTGAGGACGGATGAGTTGAAAAGTTACATTGTTGGCACAAATGCATCATGATTTCTATGTTTTTTGCAGATTGAATAACATTAGTGAAAAGCATAAATTGAAGTCTTTTTTCAACTATCACTTACCTTGTTCCCGACTCTACACTAACAGATTATTCAAGTGAATATAAAATATTAATCAACTAAGGACTGTGAGTCAATTCACAATTTAAATTAAAGTTTAATGTAATCTACGAACATAATTACAAGAATGCAACTTAAAAATATATATAGATAAGGTAATACCTATTGAATAAACTGAAAGGGACCGTTAATGGACTACATACTTATGAGAAGCTTTGTTAAGTGATCAGACAAAAAACATCGATTATATGGAATAGAACTTTGAAGATTAAGGTATTTATTGAGTAATACTGAATAATGACAAATGGAACAAATGAGAATAAATAGTCATGTTTGCATTTACACACAAAACAGTAATATACACAATGAATTTCGTAAATATATGATGCAAAATTAATAAAACAGCTTAACAAAATTTAATGAACTGAGGTAATTGATAGTAAAGAACTAAGTGTGATCAAATACCATAGTGTAGTACTGTACACAAAAACTGGGAAGACAATGCCTACATTCGTTGGAAACAACGGAGGTGGTTATATGCCCTCAGTCTTTTTGAAGTGATTTTGTACAAAGCTTCTTTTAAAATGTTAATGGACGTGATTAAAGGGCATTCCTCTCCAACAAGCATCTTTCGAAACAGCCTTGTCAAACGAACTGAAGTAGGGTTTCAAACTAACAAATACAAATAATGTTGACTTGTGACACATGTGGCCATGTTTAAACATCTGGTGTGATTATATCCACTTAGCTTGAAAATCAAAACATTTTGGAATAAAAACTACAAAAATATTAAGGATATACTTAGGAAATCAACAGTTTACCACATTCGCATTGTAGAAAGCATAATTATGCTAACTTGGTTTTAGAATTTCATTACAGAAAAATGCATAACATGCCCAAAACAATTTACGTGACAAAGAACTTATGTTAATTCATTATTTGTTTGTTTCTTTATAATAAATAAATTTGTAGCATAAACACTAATTAGTCATATTATTTATTGATTCTAAAAATCACAAAAATTCGAGAATATATGATCATATTAAGTCTAAATGTTAGGCGGAATTGTCACAACTAATTAGACATAACTACGAAGATAATTATCGATGTATGTAGAGAGAAAAATAGGAAAGTGGATCGACAAACTACATTATCCGTGTTATTATATATATATATATATATATATATATATATATATATATATATATATAGTATTCTCATGAGTACAAGTGTCAATTATGAGCTTCCTATTAAATGGGGAAAGCTGACAAATCAAACTAATTGATCATATTTAATTTCTAACAAACTCAGGTACAAAAAATAACAAGACATCTAAATCTTTTTTTAGAAGTTCTGTATATAATCGGCGAACATATTGAGCAAACACAAAAGGAACAAGCTAAATTTAGCTAGCAGATACCTCACAACAGCAATGTTAATGTCACATAAAAGATGTTGTAATCTGGTTAACTATGAACTTATGCCATCACAAACAAATACAACGTAGCACAGCAAACAAAATTTTAGTACAAACAGAGCTTACTAGACAGCCGTCGATGAGTAGTAAGCCCTGTATGGAAGTTGAGAACCATAGATAATTAATTTAAGTCGCCACGGTATTTATACAACCATTCGTCAACCATGTATGGTACCCGTTATAGTCAAACGTCAATTTTGTGGCTACATTGGCTTTTGTAAAATGAGGATTTGTCTCACGCGACAATCTACTACAAGCCCCGATATAACCATACGCAATATTAAATACAATACTGACTGGAAGATGATTAGATTAGAAAGAAACTAAAAGAAGCCCGGTTAGGAAATATAGGTAGATAGTGCAGACGCTGACTGTTTGCTTGAATGACTTATGAAGGTTCAGACATTTTTGTGGTCTTTGCAATAGTGTTAATAATAAGTGAGTAGAGATCCAAGATGGCATATTTAAAAGTTGATCACACCAGTGGAGAATAAATCGCTTTTTGTGTTCTTAATTGAGAAAACCGCAATACTTCCTTCTCTCGACTTACCTTAATAACTATTATTTGTATTGATTTTTTATGCGGCTGTTGTAAAGTATAGCAACTTGAATCAATGTGTTTTAACTCTGCAATGGTATTTTTCTAACAGTTGTCTGTTTCTAAACGCATGTTACCTCAAAATTTACACATAAAACACTTACGGACACGAATCATTAGTAAACGCTTCATATCAGTCAGTCAGTAACAACGTAGAACTTCGTACGTACGTACATCAGTTCGAGTTGCCACACCACATTAGCGCAGAGATGCAGTGATCGATTCAAATCCCGTAGTGGTAGAGGTAATAAGAGTATAAGCAGTAGTCGGGAAAATTAGTGTTTGGATATGTTATTTAAAGAGTATAATACAGTGAAATAAATTTGGGAAGAGAAAAAAAGAGACAAGGAGGAATAAGGAGATCAAAACTTGGGAGAACACAAAGAGCGTATGCACCTGCGCCATTGCAAACGATTTTGAGCCATGTCATTCAGGGTCTCTAACCATCGGTTGCTATCATCTCGCGGTCCCCAACCAAGTAGCCTACACCTACCAACATAACTCAGTCCACTTGTCAGTGATTTCAAGGACTTGTGCCATGTTTTGGTCTGGCCACCCCTAGCTTTCTTCCAACCTACTCCTATACCACTGAACATCGCACATCGAGGCAGTCGGTCGTTGGGCATACATAACACGTGTCCCGGCCATCTCAACTGATAAAGTTGCATCACTTCATCAATTGATTTGCCATCCTTACCTAGTACCCGTTTCCTAACAACTGCATTACTTACTCGATGGTCCCATGATATACGAGCAATATTTCGAAGACACCTATGATCAAATACTAGTAACCTACGAATATCCTCTACTCTTACCGGCCATGTTTCACTGCCATAAAGTAGGACGGAACGAACTGCTGGGCAGTAAACCCGTCCTTTGGTTGATAGACGGATATCTCGCCTACGCCATAAATGACGCATGTTGGTAAAAGCTAGTCGAGCCTTCTGTATCCGTGCTGAGTTTTCGTCACACACCAGACCACAAGGGCTGATCAGACTTCCAAGACTACATAAAAATTGTAAGTAAATTTAACAAATGTGTTATTTATTATTATAAGCAATTTAGTTTTGCAGAGATAGTTTGAGTTATCAGGAACTGATAAACCGATTAATGATTAAAAAACATGCAGTATCATATACTCAGATATAAAGTTTATCTATATAGGTCGAAATACTATTATCGTAGGTTGATGCAGCTGAGCTAAATTTTACAATTTTAATGTAAGGATCGTATCATGATAAGAACAAGTATATCAAGGAAACATGTGAATAAATAAGTCATATTTCCACCAGACAGCAACAGAAAAGAAAGTCTTTATATATTAAAATCATAATTCTGTATAAGTTGAATGACAAATGTTTTATTTTCAGGTTCAACTCATCTATAATGTCCTTGCTGAAAAATTCTAAAATTTGATGATTATTTACTATTTTACACACAAGAAATGCTTGGTTTATATTGGTTTAAACAGTAACTTTTGTTTCGGTTTCAGCCAACACCAACTTGACAGAAAGGCACGTGAAGAAAGATGTCAAATAGCCTAGTGACTATGGAAAAAGTTTTTTCAAGCAATTCGGTTCATTTTTAGCCATGAACATGATTGTACAATTTGTCTGATCATTCTACTTTATATAACAAGTATTCATGGAATAGTGCCGACAAACACGCTAAAGTAATTCCTATATTGTAAGGAATGGTTTGAAAATCATGGATTCATAACACAACGTTGATATAAACTTACTTTATCAATGTAGAATTCTAATGGACAAAGGTCTCGCATTGCTGCTGCGGCACAATTAGAGGTTTCTGTTTGCCCACGTACATAGATTTTTACAAACGGATTTCCGGCAGGAATGTTTTGAGATAAGTCTGGACATTTGGCAGGAAGTGCTACTGATTTACGAGTTTCAATGGAAGATGAATTGATTGGTTCAAAAGAACTTCGACTGCATGGACCAGGTAGAAGAAGAGGTGGTGGAGGGGTTGGTAAGACAGATAGATCACATACATCACTTATTTTTGGTAAAGTTATGTCTTGAACAAAAGAACTGTTTTCAGGAAAATGGGTATCAGGAAATAGACTTGCGTTCATTTGATAGGTTTTCGTTTCCAAGGGTGAACTGGGGTTTGTGATAGGAATATTTGGATCGATTACGCCAATCATCTTATTAGAAAGAATAAATGAATTTAGTAAGACAAGTCGGAAAAAAAGATGAGATGAAATGTTGTGATCCGAAAATGAGTACTGCAAGTCATGGAAATACTTTATACGTAATTAGGAATTATAAGTAGCTGTAATTGGCTGAAAGTGGTAAACTAAAAGCAATAGATATACAAATACTATACTAGACTTGGTTGTGCTGATTTATGACAAAATAATCAAACCACAACAATTTTAATCTTATGAGATTAAATTAACAAAATAAATAGTAAGTCAGTCAGCTACAATGTGGGACCATGCACATATATGCATCGGTCTAAGTTGCCATACCTCATTAACACAACAAGATGGACACCGGATTCATAAAAGTAGTTAATTCAGAGGTGGTAATATATGAAATAAAGATTGCAATAAGGATATAGTACACGAAGAAAGAATTAGTTCGTAGAAAGAAAGATATGAAGCAATTTTAATCTCTTAGTTTAGGGGAAGACAGAGAGAGAGCACACCGACGCCACTGTATTTGATTCCGAACCATGTCACCAAGAGTCTCCAATCATTGGTTACGACAGTCACGCGGACCCCAACCAAGTAGTCTGCATCTACCAACATGGCTCGGACTAGAAGTTAGTGACTTCAAGCACTGATGCCACGTTTTGGTTTGGCCGCTCCTAACTTTCTTCCAACCATCCCCAACACCGGTTAGCATTGCACGTCGTGGTAATCGGTGTTCAGGCATACGTAACACGTGGCTCAACCATCTCAGTCGATGAAGATTCACAACCTCATCGACTGATTTACCATCATTCCCTAATACCCTGCGTCTAACCTCACTATTACTTACCCGGTGATCCCAGCAGACGCCAGCAATATTTCTAAGGCATCTGTGGTCAAATACTAGTAGCTTACGAATGTCTTCTACTCTTAATGGCCATGTTTCGCTGCCGTAAAGTAAGACAGAACGGACTGCCGTGCAGTATACTCGTTCTTTTATTGATAGACGGATATCTCGCCTTCGCCAAAGGTGACGTAAGTTGGCAAAAGCCAAGCGAGCTTTTCAAATCCGTGCTAAGATTTCGTCAGACACCAACCCATTAGGGCTGATCAGACTTCCAAGATAAGTGAAGCTGTCAACGCTTTCGACTACTTCACTCCCTATCCTTAGTTCAGGTGTTGACGCAGGCTAGTCCTGAAGCAACAACTTGCAGTTAGATGTGGAGAAACGCATCCCAAACATTCTGTCATTGTTCCCCAGTGCTATCAAAAGACTGTATTTTTTCAGCGTCTTCACTAAACAGGACTATATAATCTGTGTATTCTAAGTCGATAAGTGGACCTTCTGGTAGGAAATCAATGTCCGAATATCCAGTCGACGAGAAAGTTATTTCCATCAATAAGTCTATGATGAAGTTAAACAAAAATGGAGAAAGTGGACAGCCTTGACGGACACCACTTGAGGTTGCAAAAGCAGATGACAGTTCGCCATAAGCTCTGACTCGACTAGTAGTGTTCGAGTAAAGAGCCTTCACAAGGTTTATGTACTTCTGAGGTAAACATTTCAACGACAGACACTGCCACAGAATCTCGTAGTTTACAGAGTCAAATGCTGCTTTTATGTCAAGAAAGACCACCATTGTCGGACGCCGATAAGTATGCCTGTGTTCTAGAACCTGACGAATGGTGAATATGTGGTCGATGCAGCCACGACCAGGTCTGAAATCAGCCTGGTTTTCTTATGTTTGCAGTTCACGAGCCTTAGTTAAGCATCCGATAATTATTGGTGCTAGTATTTTAGATGCTATGCTAGTCGAAAAAATCACTCTATGGTTATCACAGGATGATTGTGACCCCTTTTTATACATCAGGACAATCAGTGATTGTGACCAGTCAGATGGAATAACGTCTAACTCCCAGATCTTAGCTAAAATATTAGTCAACCTAATCGCTAAAATTGGACCACCATCCTTAAAGACCTCTGGAGCCAATCCATCTGGACCAGCTGCCCTTCCTCGTTTCAGATTAACTATAGCCTTTTGAACTTCTGCTAGAGTTGGGGGACCTACTTCACTGTCCCGTTCACACTGTCTGGGAATGGAGGGTAGTTGTAGAATAGCTTAAGGCCAGCTGAACTGTTCTCTGAAATGTTCCGCCCGTCGTTCTAGACGTCTGGACTGAGAGCAGATGAGGGTATCGCCTTTTTCCAAAATAATCTTACTTACACTTGAATTATTAATTCCAGTTTCTTTTATTAGTCTGTAAAGCTGTCTTGTCTTACCTATAGTCGCCGCCTTTTCCCTTTCTTTTGCTTTCATTGCCCACCACTGCTCACGGTCGTTTCTTAGGCTTTTTCTTAACCTAGATCTGATTTGTTGTCGCTCTTTATCATGTTGGGAACCTGATGGGACGAGCTCGCGAGAATCCATCAGTGTGATGGACTTTGAAGAAATCCACTGGTTCCTTGCAACTTTGTGGTTTAAGTCACTAATAGATGTCACTGCTGTTTCCACAGCTGATTGTATGCCCTTCCAAGCAACATCTGGGTCAGCCTCGTCTTCACAACTACCTAAGTGTGACCTCATTTGTTCCTCGAACCTACTTTTGGTTTTCTCGCTACTCAATTCAGTTCTAACGGGTCTTTTTACTGTGGCTTTTTTGCGTCCAGTGAGGCGCAAGCAGATGCGTGCCCGTATTAGGGCGTGGTCGGGGTCCAAGTAGGTACTCCAGAATGAACGACAATCTTGTACCGACCCTCTCCAACGATGACTGATGGCAATATGGTCTATTTGAGTCCATCGTTGGTTTGGTGTAGGGGGTCGCCATGTTAGACGATGTCTCTCCTTATGCTTAAAATTTGTGTTTGCTAAAAATAAACGATTGTCTGAGCACAGTTGCAGCAGACGATCACCATTATCTGTTCGTTGTGCCGGAATACTAAAATACCCACCTAAATGCCTTTCTGTTTGGGTTAAACTACCTATCTGGGCATTAAAGTCACCTGCTACGAGTACTATGTCTGAACGTTTAGCTTTCTGAATAAGTTCAGATAACTTTCTGTAAAACTCATCTTTCACTTCATCTGAGCTGCAGTCGGTGGGAGCGTAGGCAGAAACGACAAAAAGGCAACGACGTGTGTCCCTATCCTTCCGACTTCTTACGGAGCCGTTTAGCCGAACAGCACATAAACGACTGTTAACGCGGATCCACTCTAACAGTGCTCGTTCAGCCCTCATGCTTAGTGCTATCCCTACTCCTGCCAGTCCACGAGAGCTGGCCGTCGGGTCACCAGATACACGAAGGGTGTATATCGGTGGCTCTCCGTTTTGCCGAGGTTTATTTATTTATTTATTTGGACACATGAATATTGGTACAAGAGAGCGCCAATATATATGCGCCACACAAAACAATGAAAATTCGAGAGGAATACAAAGAAAGAAAAAAAAAGCTAAGGAGCGCAACAAAAAAAAGAGAGAACAATAACGAAGAGATTGGTGTAAGGTAATGTGCTAGTAATCAGGGAACGCAAAGGTACAATCGGAAGAAATCTTTCAGGTAAGGGAGACACAACCACTTTTTATGAAGAAAGTAAGAGAAGGTTACAGCAGGATCGCCACTGGCTTCTATTCTGAGCCATATCTGATAACGTCTCTAGCCACTGTGTAGCACCATCTCTCAGACCCCAACCAGGGAGTCGTGAAGGACCAACACAAGCCAGTCCTTTGCAGCTTTCTTTCATGCCACGACACCATGTCATGCACTGACCACCTCTCCGCTTCTTCCAACCAGTCCCAGAGTCGGCAGATAATGCACGATGTGGAATCCTCTGGGACCCGGATTGGCATGAGCCGCTCTGGCTTTCACTATACGTGCATTGATCTCATCACTCACACCCCCACCAGCACTTATGCAGCTACCCAGATACACGAACTTATCGACTACGTCTATCTGCTCACCAACCAGAGTGAGTACAGGATTGGAATCCTGCCAGTCTTGTAGAAGTACTTTGCACTTCGAAGGTGCAAAGCACATACCATACCTACGGACACTGATTGCCAACTGATTAAGTGTGGATTGCATGGCTTGGGCATTATCGCACAGTAAGACAATATCATCGTCCGCATACTCAAGGTCAAGAAGTCTTTCTCCAGGCAACAGATCCACACCACCATTACTTACATCCATCAGAGCTGTTTCCAGAATGTCATCGATGGCAAAGTTGAAGAGGAATGGTGAGATTGGGCAACCCTGTCTAACCCCACTGCTCGAATGGAACAAAGGAGAAAGGTGGTTGTATGCCCTCTCTCTGCCTGAGGTGTTTTTATATAGGGCTTTTAGGATGTTAATAAACTTCTCAGGCACACCCTTCTTCAATAGACAATCCCAGAGAACAGCCCTATCCAACGAATCGAAGGCAGCCCTGATGTCAAGAAACACTACGATTGTTGGCCTTCGATAAGTATGGAGGTGTTCTAACACTTAGTGGAGGGTGAAGATATAATCAATACATCCTCCACCAGAACGAAACCCAGCCTGCACCTCGCGAGTCAATCTTTCTCGGGTTTTGAACAACCTACGAAGTATGACGGAAGCCAATAATTTGGACACAATCGAAGTAGACTTATCCCCCGATAGTTGTTACAAGAACGACTTGAACACTTTTTAAAGATAGGGAGAACTATCGACTTATTCCATGACGTTGGTACACTCTCTAGTTCCCAAACCTTTGTAAACAACGTCGTCAATTCCTTAGTCAAAAAGTCACCACCATCTTTAAAAAGAGCCGGAGGTAAGTCATCTGGGCCAGATGATTTGTAACGCTTCAAGAGTTGGAGTTCCTTGCGGACTTCCTCCTCGTTTGGTGGATCAGTCGTCACCGGCCATGGAGGGCAGGACAGTCTGATTGATGTTGCCGGAGCAGCAGGCCAGTTGAACTGCCCTTCGAAAAATTCTGCCCATCGTCCAAGACGTCGATGGATGTTAGTGATTGGCATCCCATCATCCTTGCAGATTGTTTCACTCACACCAGACTTTTTGCTGCCAGTGGCTCGGATGAGCTGGAAGAGCTTCCGGTTATTACCAGATGCAGCTGCTGCTTCCAGCTCATTAGCACGCTTCGACCACCAGGCTTCTCGGTCCTTACGCAAGCTTTGCCCAATTTCCTTACGTAACATCCTTCGTTTATGGTCAAACTCACGGTCACCCGGAGTAGACCGACGGGCTTCAATGAGTTGTAAGGAACCAGAAGAAACCCAGTGCTTAAAAGCGGGACGTTTCGCAAACCCACAACTGACTCTTCCCGCTATTTTCATGGCGTTATGCAATTGCAACCAATGCTCATCTATACTTTTCGGTGGAGTGGTAGCTAGCCTAGAGGCTAGCTCGGTTCGATACTTGCAACAGAAGTTGCAACCAGCTTGCTAACATCAATCTTTTGGTGGTGGTCACTTCGTTAGCCACTGAAAAGTAAGGCAAGATTGGCGCAGACCAAGGCATGGTCAGAGTTCAGATAGGTACTCCAAAATGAGCGGCAGTCTTGTGCACAACCACGCCAGCGGTAGCTGATCGCGATGTGATCAATCTGAGTCCAGGCTTGAGATGCAGAGGGAGGACGCCAGGTGGCACATCGGCGATGACTGTGCCGAAAGTTAGTGCTAGCCAGAAACAGGTTGTGGTCTGTGCACAGTTGCAGTAGACGGTCTCCGTTATCTGACCTGCGACCAACAAGTCCCCACCGGCCACCAAAACGACTCTCTTCTGTGCCTAGACGCCCGACCTGAGCATTCAAGTCTCCGGCTAGTACTACAATATCTGTCGAACGCACTTTCTGGAGAAGAACAGATAACTGGTGGTAAAACTCATCCTTGATTGCATCCGGGCTGCAATCTGTCGGGGCATAGGCGGAGATGACGAAAAGACATCGTTTCTCACGCCGATTTCTTCTCACTTTGATGGAACTTTCTAATCTAACAGCACATAACCGACTGTTAATGGGGATCCGAACGATTAGTGCTGCCTCAGCTCTAGCGCTTAGTGCGACACCAACGCCTGCAAGACCAGACGAAGATGCCACAAGGTCCCCGGATAAGCGCACGTAAAACAAGCTTTTTGAGGTGGCAGATGTAGAGCGAATTTGTAGTACTTCGCTAGAGTCTTGATTACGGGTCTCGGATAGACAACAAACATCAATATTAAGACTTTCCAAAGACATAGCCAGCCCTATCTGTTGACCAACCTGCATAAGTGTGCGAACGTTGAAGGCAGCCAGTTTGAATGGCGCACGTAGTTTCAGAAAAACTGCTTCAGTACTCATATTCGATGGTAACATACAACTTTCAACCGGACAGTGACTCGAGAACGTTTAGATACAGTCGGATTTCCACCAAAGACGAGCCGCTGTATAAGTATAAAGGAGGGTGAATAATGTGGGAAATAATAATAATAATAATAATAATAATAATAATAATAATAACGACAATAATAGTAATAATAATAGTATTAATAATGACAATAATAGTAATGATAATTATTTGAATCGACTGATTGTTTTTCGGAGCGAAAAAAGTAGTTGCCAAAGACATAGAGTTCATCGTTTGTGTGTGGGCTGTGATACTGCCCGGGTGCCCAAACCGAAGCAGGTGGTTTTCTTAGGGGGCCACTCCCCGAGCCTTTGACCTAAAGGTCTAACCCACAAGGCAGTGGAGCATCGTAAGGAGATGCAGTCCCATGGAAGCTGGTGACCAACGATTGGTTCATACACCATTTGTTCCCGCAGGATACTGGAGCCCATGTGCACCATCAGTTTGGGATCCGGTTAAAGCGCCGGACATTCGCTTTTCGTCCTCGTTTTGCCGAGGTGAGGTCAAGTGAATGACCACACTGGGATCCTGTATGCGTGTTTCAGAAACACAGCATACATCAACGGTACGAGATTCTAGGGTTCTAGACAAGAAAGCCTGTTGATTGATTTGACATAGGGTGCGTACGTTGGAGCGAGGTTTCAGTATCCCTGGGACAGTGTTTTGAGCACTAGAATCGTTGGCTATGGTGACACTTGCGGGGGAAGCCGAAAGAGGAAGTTTAGAGGTGAAAGTTGATGTAGGAGGAATAATAGGAAGTGAGGACGAAGGTTGATTATGAATACAGTGGTCTTCAGTGCTGTTAGAGGTATGAGAGCGGTTATCACTTCCCGGTTGCCCACACCAAGGAAGGGTTCTTCTGGAGGTACCTGAAAAGGAAATTGGATTGGAGGTGGTCTTAGTGACCTGGGAGCGTGACCGCAGTGCCCAAAGGACAACTGCTTGAGGTCGGTCACACACGACCTTTTTGTGGGCAATTTTTGTTTCAGCTCCGTACTTATTGAGACCTTACCGCCCGAGACGGATATTCGTGGGATAAGGCGAGGTGTGCATTTTTAGATTCGACCTTTTCTAACCCCACCCCTCCTTGTGGGAAGGCAGCATCGCTGTTATGCTGGTTGTCTGAAGGAAACACCTTACCGCTGTCACACCTCTGTACAGTCACCAGTACAACTTCGCCTTCGGACCTTGGGTTTGTTGCTTTTAGTCGTACCGCTCTTCAATCGACCTGTCTGACATGGTAGGACCTTGAGGAACGGTTGTTCCAGCCAGTATAGCTCGGTTGCTTCATTACGATAGGCAAACCCGACCACCACGTCAAAGTAGCAACAACGGTCGGGAGATAAATAGTAAAAAAGTCGACATAGAATAGTATTAATGATAACGATGAAAATCAAACATCAGGAACAAAGTTTGAAAAGATAGGACAGGTAAGTATGCATAAAATAATATAAGGACCTCATATGTAGCACAAACCAAAGAGTGAAAATACCTGCACGATCGTGACTGAGTCATATCGCCTGACGACTCCAGCCACTAATCGTTTTTGGCATGCAGACCCCAACCAGATTGTCTGACTTTACCAATATGGTTTACATTAACGGTCAACAAGTTCATGGACCGGTGTCACGTCTTAAATTTGTTGCCCCTAGCTTTCTTCCAACATCAGCTAACATCCACCGTCGAGGTAGCCAATGGTTAGGCATAGGTAACACAGGTCCAAACTATCCCAGTTGAAGATTCAATATCGTATCGACCGGTTTACCATCGCCTAGTACTCTGGGTAAAACCACAATACTACATACTTGGTCGTTTCACTATACAAGAGCAATGCTTCGACGAAATAAATGATCAAAACCTGGAGTTTGCCCACACGCCCACATTTTATAGTCTTGTAGTAATATAAAATGGACAGTTTAAGCAAAAATATGCACCTAAAAGGAGGGAAACGCATTCTAAGCATGCTTGTATTGTCGGTCAAGGAGATCAGAAGACTACATAACATCAGTATCTTCACTTAGTCGGACTAGACTGTCTGCGTATTCCAAACCAATAACTAAGCCTTTAGTAGAAAATTAATCACTGGGTAGTTAGATTAATGATAGGCTAGAATAATACACAAGATGAATAAAAAGACTTACTACACAAATATAGTGCAAAACTGAGAAAAATGTGAGTATTGGTTAGAACGTAGTCGAAAATACAAGATGAACACTTGAAACATGATATTAATAGAATATTTGTTGAAAAAAATAATGATAATCAACTAATATATGAAATTATTAAGAATGATAATAGAAACAAGAAAACATGGCATAACAATTTCGAAGAAACTATTGGTAAAAATTAATTTAACAAACCTGTGGTAAAATGGTTCGTTCAGGAATTCTTAGTTTATTATGCTGTTTAGGAAATGTGAGAGACTGTACAAGTGGAGGAAAATAAGATACATGTCGAACATTTGGAAATTCGCTGCTAATCGAATGGACGTTTGTATCACATGAACTGGTACCATAATGAACCCAACGTATACTAGACCTAGAAGAAATATGAAAGTACATAGAGGTACTAATGTGGAAACTGCGGTGAGATTTTATGAGAATAAAGAATTTGAGACATCCAAAAGGTACGAAAAGTTTAAACTAGCAATAAGATATATTTGGGACTACAGTGGAAATATTGAGTACTATAATCTCGAGCTTGGTTATTCACTTAATCTGACATATTGAAATAATATCAATGACCAAATAAGGCTTCGAAAATATTATCACATATTATAATGAAATAAGGCATAATATTTTGCTTGAAATCTCATTCAGTAAATATGAAAATAAACCAAGTAGGTCTTTATATTAACCAGTGTAAAAACAGTTGATATGTAACGTTTATAACGGGATTCAGTTGTTAACATATTTTTCGTACACTGGGCAACATAATGGACATCAATATTTTAAAACAACTGATGACATGTTTAAACTAAAATTATTTTTGCACCCACTATGTGGGCTATAGTATGTATTATTTCTAACTTAAAAGCATTTCGTATGGTAGATGGTTGATAGCCTTTTCAGAGAAAGCCATACAGTCTTCAATGAGCCCGGGTGGTTTTATATAAACAGTACCATTAACTTGCTCAAAATGAGAAAATTTAGTTTTGTTCCAAGGATGGTGATAAATATATTGTTGAAGAAATGATGACAGCTTGGAAGGCTATCGGTATACTAACGTTTATCGATTAGAACACATAAATATTGGTACAAGCAGGCACCAAATATCTATTCGACACAAATTCGACTTGTATAAGGACTGGAATACTGTCCGAGCGCCCTAACCGAAGGAGGTGGTTTTCTTAAGGGGCCAATACCCGCGCCTTTGACCTAAAGGTCTAATCCATAAGGCAGTGGAGTGACATTAGATAGTTTCATGGTAGCCGGTGGACAACAATAGGTTCATAGGCTATTTGTTCCCTCAGGATCCTGGAGCCTATGTGCACCATTGGTTTGAGATCGGGATTTTCCAATTCCCTTAGATGGATCCCACGTATCTACTAACCTGATGGAAACGATCACACCAATTATTTCCACCTTTCTCAAAAGCAAAGTTCTAAGGGATGAACGTTATAGAGCCTGCAGAAAAACTATTTTCACTATTAGTGAGTACGGAATATATTTCTAAAAGTTCTGAACACCTAAGAAAAGGAATATTACATTTTATCCGCCTATATAGTAATCATTATCCTTCATCGTATACTTAGGGTAAAGCGTTAAGAAATTAACATTCCAATAGCTAGAATGCACAAAAACGTAACATATGATAGACGATAGTAGCCCCTAAATAGATCAAAGCACGAAATCATGAAATTTTTACGTAGCCTTTGGAAAATACCGTTGTTTTATTTGTGTGCCAATCAATTGTGTAGATTTAAAACAACTTGAAGATAACAAAAAACCATACTAACATGGACAACTAACAGTATCCCAACAAACACTTCGAACAATATCACTGATGCTAAGGGCTGATGTGCTTAATAATTTTGACTGTCCATACAGTTAAATCGTAAAGTGATAGTAGCAAACACTATAGCTCTACTCTATTTTAGAGTAATAAACAGACACCACTAAAGATCAATTCACATGAACTAACAATAAGCTTTATAGTTCTGTAGACAATATTTTGACTATTGGGTAAGTAGGTACACCTTCCTTGAACTACTATTTGTCTTGACAGTCTCTAATAATCGGTTAATTATTGAGAAATAAAATATGGGAGGACTTAACATATAAATTACCATATCACCTATTAAACAAAGTTTAACCAATTATTGACGAGACTTACCACACTGACTTTCCGAAACACATAGGGAACGGTTTGCGTTCGTTGGATGATTTTCTGAGTGAACAACGTAAAAGGCCAGTATGGAGTTTGTACTTATTAGCACGTTTGTGGTGTCCAAAAACTGCAGCACATTGAAAAACAGTTTTGACATTTACATTTAGACGTGAAGACGTTTCTACGATACACAGATTTTTCATCCAATGTTTTTTACATCCACTGAGTGTATCTTTAAAGAGAGTTGAGGCCTGACTAGAAACATTCATATCATGTTTAGATGTTGCGACAACCACTGGAAACTTAAGAGACGAAAGACGAGTGATGACATGACCTAAAAAGGCAGCCTGTTGCAGAGCTGAAGGACCACATAATGACATGTCATATACACATACAAAGACATCTACAAATAAAGTGGTGGGTTCAAGATAAACCTGAGGAAAAGCCGACTCATGCCCAAGCTGCTCCTTACAAACGTAACACAACTTTCTTGAATGCAAGGTGATTTTAAAGTCCAAACATCGTTCTGCATATGGTCTGGGTTCGAGAAGAGGTTGGAAAAGATGGTCATCCACAAAGTCACACTGCTCAATTATTTGGATATGTAGTTTACAGCCGTTAACATTCACACTACTGTCTCCCCAATATAGCCAGTGGCTTGAACAGATGACTTCACTATCATAATCTGACAAACTTAAAATTGACAAGTGGTTTTCATTGAACCTGTATGGGGCCATAAAACGGTTTATGAGACAAGATTTCCCAACATGTTGGCGAACATCCGTTCCTGAGCCTGGATACCCAACTACGGATATGGTAACTTTACCAGTCTTTTCGAATACCATGTTTTCTCATACAGATATAAGAACATTCTGAGCATTCAACGATCCACCTTTCTCACGTGCTGAAAGATTTGATTTGACGGGTATAACAAAAACGTTTTCAAACAAACTTCAACAATAATTAGTTCTCTGAGCCTTAACATCAAAAATCAACCAATTAAAATAACATTTTAGGTGACCATTTGAGTTATATATTTCCGAATTGTGGCGAAATTTTGATCTTTTCGGCACTACATGTATAGTTATATGTTTACGCATATTTTAATGAGGCTTAGTTTTGTGTTCTTTGTCAAGTAATCTTACACATCTAGTCGTAAATATTTTATTGAAAATATGTGATACATTACTTTTCCTGACATTCTAGAACTACTCATTATGTACTTGATGGATTTCCTACTGCATAGTACACTTAAGCGAAAAAATTTTTTCGCTTCTAACTTTTCGATGTTCCCCATTTGTTTTGCGTTAAGACTAAGCCACAGTAAATACTTCAGAGGATGGCAATGGGTGTACCCATTGCCAAGACGGTTGTCTGGACCACGAACCAATCTTGTGGACCGAGTTAAGATATCCTCCAATATATTCTTATCCTTTCGGAGTGACGGAAAAAACGTTGTTTTTATACTCCATGCAAAGCCGAACAAGATATTTTCGTAATAAAACTACTTGAGAACATGCCTCAAAAATTCTAGTGCAATTTTGACTCAAAAGTCATTTTTGTCACAACTGGAATATTGTGTTAGATTTTAAGGTACGAATACACCTAAGGACACTTCGTGCTGAGAATTATTTAAGTATTACATGTAGCTTGTAGTGTGATTCAGATAGGTTACTTCACATTCTTCGAAGTTACATATTATTCTTCTGTTGTGTTTCTACCCAAGCAACACAAAAAGGGGAAATAAAGGGGAAAAAAGGGGAAATAAAGCGGACGAAAGGGGAAATAAAGGGGAAATGTCGCTTTTTCGCCTTAACGTCGGTTATTTAGTGGAAATGTCGCTTTTTCCCCCTGACGTCGTGTATTTGGGGGACATTTGTCGACAGTTCTACGTAACGTACAGTGTTTGAATTAACCGCATCTGGAACTGAAGTTTTCATAAACTTCGACAAATGTATTCACCGCCAATTAAAAAAACAAAAGTATTTTCATAAAAACAATGTACAAAATACGGAACCAGGCTTTCGGTTGATACGCATATACAGTGACTTCGTTTGTTGTTTAGTTAAAGTGTTCCGACATGCTTTGGAGCCATCACAAAAAACTTACGTGATGCAGGTGAGTGACGTGCTTTCAGGACTTTAGGTTCATTGTGACTGATTACCTTCTTAGGCCAATAATATGACTTTTTCTGATATCAGTGAGAATGTTCGTAGACGTAGGGCAACTGTGAACTTGTCACGTTCCCTTGGTTGTCACAGAACCACTTATAATCGGAGGTGGAATAAAATGAGAGCTGCTTTCATGAAAAAATATCACTTTCCTTCGGTCAGTGAGTTTGCGAATGAAAGCACCGTAAAAGGTAACTGAGTTTAACAATGTTGTTTACTTAATTGATATAAGTAAAGAGAGAAGTCAGTTGTAATGAAAGTACTTCGATTAGTACACCGTCCACTAGCAACTTCAATCAAAGGCTTCCAGCTAATAGTGGTATGAACATTAAATTCGTACGTGAATATATTTCTTATAGGATGTACTGAAGTGAACTTGTGCTCAACGAAGTTCGTGAATCGCAAAGAACAGATGAACGACTTTATGATGTATCTAATGTCAAATACATCACTGAGTATAAAAGATGCTGATCGGGTTCTGTATGGTCTAAGATTTCTTATCCCGGACATACCGAAAAGTATCAGAGGCGTTTTGAAGACATGTCCAAGTGTTCAACGCAAGTTCATCGGCAGTGGGGTTTACTACCATCTAGGATTGAAAACCAATCTGCTAAGATACGTTGAGCTTTGGTTGTGTACTATTGATTTTGACTCTTTAAAGTTGTATGTCAATATAGATGGACTTTCTATGTCTAGAAGCTCCAATCAACAGTTATGGCCTATACTTGGACGGATCATTGCCCCTCGGCTTAGTGACGTGTTCATGATAGGGATCTACGGAGGGAATAGTAAGCCGGCAGAATTCAACGAATTTTCTGCAGACACAATTTCTGAAATAAAAGAAATGACTGACGTGGGTCTTTTTAGTGTTAAGTTTAATAAATGTATAGCTATTACGTTGGCGGCTGTTATATGTGACGCACCTGCTCGTTCTTCTGTTAGGTACACGGTGAATCATAACGGTAAGGCAGGTTGCGATAGGTGTACTGTTCCTGGGAGACGACTGGAGGGTAAGATGACCTTTCCAAATGGGGTATATACTGTAAGAACAGACGACACCTTCCGTCGTCAGACTCAGCCAACTCACCATCAAGGACATTCTATAATGGAAACGCTTTCTATTAATATGATTGTAACTTTTGTCGCAGAAAGAAACCAGGGACAGATTTGTAAGTCATTAACATGAATTGAATAATTTGTTACTATTACAGATGGCAATGGTCACTAGGTTATCAGGTGACGATCCAAAAACGTCCATGCGTTTTATTCTGTCGCATCTGCTGACACCGGAGGTTGCCAGTAAATTCACGTTACTTGGCACCTCTTCTAAACGAGCACTACATAAATGCACGTTTTACAGCTGCATACGAAGTAACATATATCTTTTACTTAAACTTCAGGTGCCTTAACTCATCGTTTTTTGTCATCCTCTGTAAATGAGAAAGACCTTGGTAAGCTATACGACATAGCGACACAAGGTTACTTTCACGACCTCCGAGACAAGATGATAAAACGAAATAGAAGAAAAGAAAATCAGGTAGGTACTAATTTAAAGTGATAACCTCCCTACGGCTCTATAGTTACAGTCAACAATACTGACGAACATAACCGTAAGTTCAGCTTCAAGTATTTGGTTGTGCAAAAGCATGTCATTGAGATATGGTTGTGACTATTTTTTTGTTTTTTTTTAAAATTCAGAATTCACAGGACGACTACCCCAATTGTGATTAGTCCGTGCAATTGCTTTGATGTTGTACCTCCATTTCAATAAACATTATTCTTTCAAACAGCTTACTGTTTTACCTACATGGGAAACTGTTGAAGTGTTGAGAATGGGTGTTTGAGTTTAAGTGAACTATTGATTAAATGCACATTTCTTATGAATACATTATAACCTGTTCGTTTTTTTTCAGATAATTTCAAATAACAATGTATTACCAATTGCATTGGATATGCATAACAATCGATGCTTCTGCTTGTGCTCTTCTGTTGTACAATAATACGCTTTTATTTTTCAATAAAATTTTTGAAATATTTACCGCTTTTCCACTGCATTGCAGATATATTTTGGTCTGTTGTTGAAAATGAAGGCGAACATAGGAGACCTTTGGGGTTCTGTTGATGGATAGAAAATAGTAGGTAACGTGTGTATTTAGGCGAAAAGTAGACAATTAAGCGCATAAGTAGGCAATTCGGCGGATATTTAGGTGAAAATGCGACAATTCAGCGGAAATTTAGGCGAAAATGCGACAAGTCAGCGGAAATTTAGGCGAAAATGCGACAATTCAGCGGATATTTAGGCGAAAATGCGACAATTCAGCGGATATTTAGGCGAAAATGCGACAATTCAGCGGATATTTAGGCGAAAATGCGACAATTTAGCGGATATTTAGGCGATAAGTCCGTAATTTGTCGACAAAAAGGCGAAAAAGGGGAAAATCCGCATTATTTCCCCCGGACAGGCGAAAAAGGCGACATTCTGATGCGTTTTCCCCTATATTTCCCCTTTTGCTACCATAGCATTTACCCCTTTATTTCCCCTTTTTCCCCCTTTATTTCCCCTTTTTGTGTTGTTTGGGTAACTTTGGCTGCGTGTCAGATTCCCCTAAACTGTTAACCTTCCCTTTTTGTTGTGGATGTTGCGCCATCAGTAAAAAGCAACATTTTGTAACATACCTGAGCTATGAAAAAATCAATAATTTATCATGGTGTTAAGTATCTAATTACTTGAATATGAAAACTAGTGAACAACTGGTAACTGAGTACCTGTTTAAAAATGCTCCGTCATATAACCTTGAATTGTCTCAAAGTTTTCGAAGCTGTTTGCGGGACAGACCGATTTATAGTACATTAGATAATATTATCCAAGATTTCCTAGTGCGTCAGACAGAGTATTAGCTTCTCACTCTATCAGTTTAAGATTGCCCTTTAATGCTATAATATCCAATTGTTTTGAATCTTATCATCTATTGTTCACAGGTCATTTTAGTTCATCCTTTGAATAAGATTGGAGTGTATATCACCTTACTTAAAAACTCTAGAATCACTTTACTAAATGGAAATGTTTCATTAGTAAAGATCCAGACTAAGAGCGACGGTCCCTGGTTATTCCTTCAATGTACATATTTAGTGAAGCTGACTTTAAATGACTGAATTCTCTTAAGCTTCAGATGTGCTCGTGTACTAATATAAAGTAATGACTTGGTCCTTCCAAAATATGGTTGTCTCATTTGGCGGTTTCAATAAATAATTACAATCAAACACCTTTTAGTGTTAAGTAATCTTTCAGATCCGTTGAAGCAATCAAACCCTTGAGCGTTTAGATGAAATACCTCTAAGCAGTAAGTATAGAGCAGGACCCCACGTTTCTGCAGTCTGATAAAAAGGACATGCCAACTATGGTTAGTTCTTAGTCAATTGTTCAAGTTATCCACATTTCTGTTGCGCTTGTGAGACCAACATTATTTGATTTATGTAACCCCCGCAACCCACTCATTCTAGTGGACAAACTTTGGAGGTTTATGCATAGGCAGTTGGTAGTTTCTATTTGAACTGAGTGTATATTTATGACCTCTTTGTCTGATGGTATCTTATGCGAATGATCGAAAATCTGTCTACATGGAGCTTTCTACTTGAGTCATTGCCACTCCTCTCACTAACATTTCTACTGCACAGTTTATTAATGAAATGACAAATTCTAGTTTGGTCTTGTTATATCTAGTCCCTAAACCATCCAAACCACAATGGTCCTACGGATTTTCGTCCAATAAATTTCAGTCTCAGTAAATAATGTTATTTTTTCTAACCCCTGAATGCTCTCAATGCTAAATTAACTATTGGGTCTATTTTCATAACCTCTTTATCCCGTAATTTGAGATAGGTAGTTCAGTCCAATTCTGGCGGACTTATTCATAACCTTCGGATGAAGTGTTATGTGGAAAATAAAAGATATTTTTCTATTTCCGATTTTTGGGGTTCATCTTATTATCAGTGGATTGAGAAATGATCGCTTTTCTACAATGTGTCACCATGGTGTGATAAATCACTCCGAAGTTGTAACTCATGTGGTGTCTTCGGGTGTGCAAAAACTTATTCGACGTAATGCACAAACAGAATTAAGAATTCATACCCATTATGATAGGTCAATTAAATCTCTCAAAAATTTCCAGGATATTAAGGTAGGTTTTGCCTAACTGATATATCCCTTCTTAGAGAGATGTAATTGAAGTAGCAATTGAGTTTTGGGAAGATGCTCTACTGTTACGTCAGTCTCATACCGTCCCCAGTAGATTAACACTTGACAGGTAAGTGTAAGCGATTTAATCGTTTAGTGTTTCCAGAGTTTGTGTTGATGGTGCTACAAAGTTGATGACTTTCGATAATCAACTCTTGACATTTTGTGTCAATGGTTGCGTGGAATGGACAAAATGTGGACCTATAAACATTCCAGTGTCACATTTAAATGTAAAAAGCCTTTTTTTATTTATTGAAAATTTTCACTTGTTTTTATCAGCAGTGCAGGTTTATTTATAATGGAACCTCAATGATTTCAGGTCACAAGGGCGAAGGCATATACCGTGCCAACTTCATACTCTATATTTCATCGCTTAGAACACATAGATGTAATACTGCGAAAGTCCTAGGTTATGCTGCACACTGTCAGCTAGAAGCTAATACTGATCGGTAGATTAACTTTTTTGTAAAAATATAATCTTGCTTTAATCAGAATTCTTAATGTTTTAACCAAGCATCTTATGTAACTTTTTACAGCATCCAATTCCTTCTATAAAATTTTAATATCTACTGTACTGCGTTTAAAAGAGTGCATGTAGATTATTTACTGGACAAATATGATGGTTCTTCGACGTCTTTGACCTCCATTTTTATGAACACTTAAGCCGGTGTTCTTTTTTGTATCAGAATATTCGTAAATTAACCATGTGATTGAATGCGAACTAGCGTCGTCAGATGCACTTCTGTTCAGACCGTTAATAACTATTCTATGGTACCCTAATTATTTCGTACATAGACTGACTTAGTCACATAAGCTGTTATATTACTGAACCTAACTTGTATAGCTTGTGATTGTGGTGTTAAATGATACGGGTTCGAATATCAATGTGGGATTTTTGAATTCATTGTCGAGATAGACCCAAGGGAGTACTGAAAACATTTACAGACTTGTTTCTTTTTAATTCTACAAATTGAAGTCAAAATATAGGGTACTATTGTATCTTTTCACAGCGTTTTAAGCTACAATTCACTTGTTAATAGGTAGAATTGGTTTACTACCGAGGTCAGTACCCTCATTTTGGTCATGACCTGACTGTTAGTTAGTGTGTAAATGTTTTAATTAATTGATATTATCTCATTAACTGTGTGCAAGTTCATCTACTTCAGTTCAATTTACTCTGTTTGTGTGATACCAACAGTCCACAGAAACCATTATAAGAGAATCTGAGATCTATTTGCTAATAAATAAATGCTGTAACTACAAAGTCACCGCTCCACTAATAAATTATGTACTGGCCAAATTACTAAGACAGTCAGCTCATATTCAAATATTTTATTTCTACTCTCTTTTATGCTTCATTTAATGCGAAATTCATAGCATAAGAGGTTTTATTTTATCTACTTGTCCAGTTGTGACCAGTTTAATTTTAGACTGGAATGTCTAAAAGCCGAGTAAATAATATCTAACCATTAAATGTTCTGTTAATAAACTCTAAATTAGTCTGTAGAAAGGCTTTTTTTTCCTGTCTTGTCAAATTTTTGTTATTTTGTTTCTTCTTTTAGCCCTATGGCTGGCTACATCAATTTCTGTCCTGATACATTAAGTAATGAATATAACGATAAAATGCGTTCACTGTTTGTTGCTACGCATGAAATATTACATTCACTAGTAAGCGATCATTCATTAATACGTAAATGAACTTAAGCTATTTCATGAAGCTTGATAGATGTTAAACTTATAATCAGTTTTTCTCCCATTCTAAATTCATTAGTGTAATTTTAAACCACTTGGCCTCTGATATTCAGTAAAAACAAATAAAAAAATCTTCAGAACATCTTTCCGTCACTTAAGTTAGTCATTATCACTGAAGCATATTTATCTTCATTTAGGAGTTATGTGTTACTTAGATTCTCGTGTTAAATTGTGAACACTAACTAGTTACGTTACCATCCGAAGCTCTAATCCATTTATATTAAAAGTTGGGACATTCATTCAACATTATATGTTGATATGAGTCTCAGTAGTATGACTGACTGTTTGTCATCACTTTTATGTTGAACAATATGAATGGTGCCTGTACTTTCTTCTTAACAATAACGTAAGTGCTTTAGGGATGACGATATTTCGTAACTTTTTTAGTGGAGTAGTTTATTCATGAAGCCTTCATCGTTCTTCTGGAATACACAATCAGCATAAACTTCAAACGGAAGTACGCTTTTCAAATTTCTTTATTTACGATCGACACTGTTCTGGCTGTCTTGACTGGTTTTTATTAAACCTTGTAACAGTTCATATGTTCATTTCGATTACTGTCCTCATTTACTTGATTTTTAACCTTATTCGACTTCAACCTTTATACTTTTTCGTAGGGATTCTCTACAAGTTTGTTTGCATTCTACAGAGATAAACAAAATCGACCATTAACACCACGTGATCCAATAACATTTAAACCTGCACTAGGCTGGTATTCAGGAAAGAACGGGTATGTTGTTTTGTTAAAATCTAATCTCTCATCCTGTTACTCAAAATGTCTGTGGAAAATGTATATACATTTGTCGGTGTTAATATTAGTAAACCTCCTGATTTTCTAATATAATACTTGCTCTAGAAATAATTAGGTGGTTTACGAAGGTCACATTATCATAGTTTTATCGTTTATCATTATCTCATAAATATCTAAATTCAAATAACTTAGGTAATTAGTTCTATCGCCTTCAACTAAACATAAAAATGTCGATCAGCAATTTTCATAGTTTTCTAGCAACAAAGAATCGAAGGAAAAATACTCACTCAGAGTTTACAATTTTTCAGTAAATAACAATTTGAAAATCCACTCATCTGAGTATTTGATTAGTGGAATAGATAAAGCTCAAGTTTTCTCATGAGTTTGCATTTTTATAAGGCTGAGATTTGAGTTTAAATATAAAAAAATATATATGAGGTCATGGATCAAATTTTTGTCATAAGTCAGATTATTTTTCAAATTCAATTGCTATTTTTAAGTATGAACCCTAATCTGTCAATCGAACAATCTACCACTTGCGGGGTCGTAGATACTCACTGCTGAGGAGTCCCATAGCTTCCAAGTTTCCAATGGTGGTCTAGCTTAGATCGACTCGTAACTTCAACTGTGAACCGATAGTCCAAATAATGATCAGCCTGTGATTTACACTTGTGGCATATCGGAAAGCAGTAAACTGGCCATATAACTAGTTTGATCAAATATCCACCGTAATATATCTTTCATTTATATCTCATCGGTAAAGTGTAACTGAACTTTGACTTGCAAACTACGGTTTGTAGCTCATTCAGTAGCCATTTCGAATTTTACAGCGATTCAACTTCGCTTTTAACTTGATTCGAATTCCCGTATATATTCGGTTACATGATACGAAATGGTAAGTATAACTAGTGTTTTTAATCTACTGAATTTAGTTTACTAAGTTCTGGTAGTAAATAATCTCATTTTATAAACATTCAAATGTTTGTATCTTAAGTGTCATCAGGATATTTTGTATTTGGTTGAGAGTAGAACTTGGAATATTTACTTTATCTTTAAGTTTCGTTAATTACATTGATCCTTCTTGAAGGTTATTGATATTTGAACTGTTAATCCAGTTCAGAACACGTTTTTTCGAATGTTTATGAATTATACAGTAACCAGTTTTAACAACTAACACTAATATCATTAGATGATTTGTAAATAAAGATATTCTAGTCGAAAAGAATGAAATCATTATTTTATCTTTAATTCAAACACACTTGTTTATTTTATTATTAATTATTTACTCTAAATGACGACTGATCCCCAAATTGTATATTTTATAACTGACAACTAATTACAAACTATAATCGTAAAAATTGGGTAATTCTACACAAAATTGTCCCTGTTTCTCAAATTAATGATTTCATGATTGTTTATTAATTTTGTTTTTTTGTTGAATGAAAAAAAAATTATCGACTCAATAGTAGTATAATTTAGAATAATTTATTAGTTCACCTCTTATAAATAATAAACAAATTACATATACAAATAATTTAATGTATGAAATAGTCATCTTTAAAATGAAGAGAAAATTAATCAAAAAAGAAGAAAAGAAAAACAACCTCGAGATGATTTCATTTAATTTACAAAAAAAAGTGTGCTAAGAAACTAAGAAAATGAGTAACCGTCAACTATCACAATAATACTGTTTTTATTATACTTTTAATAAACATATTGTTTTCTTTACTTACAATATGAATATCCCTAAATTAATTATTTTCAAATAAACTAGCAATAAACAATTCAAGTTTTTTATACTAAAATTTTATATATTAACAAAAGTTTACCTACATACAAAGTAAATTCTAAAACTTGTTTCATCAACTCCTTTTCATTCTTTTTTTTTATAGGTACACTTTAGATTTACTCTGGTTAAGGCTTTTTGTTAAGAAATTTTTTTTCTATAATTCATCATTCCGTTCATTTTTTGGCTTGATAGATTCAAATCTTAAGCAATTAGCTTATCTAAGCTTGATTTATCTTATAATTCAATGTTGATATACTTAATTATGGATAAGAGTGAAATCGCTGTTTAGTAAATAGTTTAAGTTAATGTTGAACTAATTTTAAATAAACATTGTAAATACTGCTACGTTCTGAGATTTAGATGGTGGTTGGAGGTAGTCAACAGGAAACCCTGGACCCGGGTTTCGTGCTACTTGGCACTCGTCAGCAAGGTGTACCTGTAATCTTGAGGGAACTGGTGCTCCCTGGTGGATTCGATCTCGTGTCACCCAGCTTCACGGTCAGAGACGTTACCACTGAGCTATCCGAGCCGTGACTAACCTCCTGTAGGACTGAGATGTAATCACAATTGATTGATCACTGGGTGGTGATCAATGTCATACTTGTCTAATCCTTATTAGTGCAGATCGAATGCTATCGATCATGTTGCTCGGATAGCTCAGTGGTAACGTCTCTGACTGTGAAGCTGGGTGACACGAGATCGAATCCACCAGGGAGCACCAGTTCCCTCAAGATTACAGGTACACCTTGCTGACGAGTGCCAAGTAGCACGAAACCCGGGTCCAGGGTTTCCTGTTGACTACCTCCAACCACCATCTAAATCTCAATACATAGTGCCCGCAGTGTCGAGTCACCTAGACTGGTGGCCACATTGCAACATGATCGATAGCATTCGATCTGCACTAATAAGGACTAGACAAGCATGAGATTGATCACCACCCAGTGATCAATCAATTGTGACTGCTACGTTCTGTTTTACAATTTATAATACCCATTCATTTTGAGTCATAAAATGAGGTATATTTTCATGGAAAGTAAAACATGTCAGAATGATGAATGATTATTTTTCAATGTATATCCCTACATATGAAAATCAAAAGTTGCGATTTTAACAAGTCACTTAATCATGTGGTGTGTGCTACACTTAATGACATTAGTAGTATATGATGCTAGTCATGAACAGAAGGTCTGGCAGCAGAGAGACAAGAGGATCGAATAGTAAAGAATGGAAACAGAATGCAATTTGTATAAAAATGCAACAACAATGAAGTCTGAGTCATTTTAGGACAATTGATGGACATTTTGCAAATTAAGCATTTACTTTATGATTGTTAGATTTTATTAACAAGTCCTGTAATTTTGTGTTAAATACATTCGATTGTCCCCACTAGTGTTCTTGTTCACTACAATCAGGAAAATATTCAGCTTAACAATAATAAACGTTTTGTTCTATCAATCATAACTATATATTATTTTCTTATATTCTCAGTCAAGTATACCAGTGGAGTGACAATGTGGTTCGATCGGTTAATCGTACTTGGTTAAGTGCTTTTGGAACTTTTCAAAAATTAGCGCACATTGTGGTTTTACCGACTGTTGTAGTAAGTAAATTATATTTTAAGTATACTTTCGAATATTGTTTTCAATGTTTAAAATGATAAAACTCGTTTACTTTGGTATATATTTAAGCGGCTCTGTGGAGTTTTAGCATAACTAAAAGGTAACTTACACCATTAAGCGACATTAACTAAGAAACATCCAAAAACCAGGTAACATTAGACTCAGTGGCATATTATACGGTAATTATTCCGAACAGAAAAAGAATTCCGTCACTAGTGCTGCAAAATTCTCTCTCGATGGATAAACCTGAAATTTATTTTCAGTGTATCTGTTATCAACATTAAAAAATAAAAAGTACGTAGTTTTACTTTGAGTTGCGATTCAATATAAAATAAAACCTTTAAGTTTATAATAACTCATGTAGGCATCAGCTTTTAGTAAGACTTGTCTGAGAAACAGTTGTTTGCTCTGACTACATTAACTTGAATGCTGGAATCTAAGGGTTAAAGATGTTACCTTAACAACCCTAGATTTGTCAAAGATTAGAAAATATATTCTATTTTCTTTTGGTCGAGAAAAATTTATTCGATCTCTTCTCTTTGGTGAGTTTTACTTTTTACTGATTTTCTATCTTAATGATTCTGAGAAATGTGAGAACTCAAACCTATGCACTGTGGTGCTCCTTTTTTTGTATTCTCTACATGGCTAAATTTTAATACCAATCATTTTGTCATCAAACTGTATTTGTGACGTTTTATTTATCATAACCACTACCTATTTATTACAATTAGTTACCCAATCTACTCTATGTTTGATTAGTAATTCGTAAATTGAGTTAATTATATTTTCTCATATATTCATATAAATATTATTGTTTACATGAATAGAGTGTAATAGTAATCTAAGCGAAAAATATCATTCATTTGAAAGTCTTGCATTCATAACTAATTATATCATTGTGTTATGTCTATAATTCATTAATACATTTACTAATCGTCTACTTATAATGGACATTACTAAAGCCATAAATAATTTTTCATGTAATCACCAGAAATAAAATTGATCAGTGAACCAGTATGTTAAACAAAACTGTCCTAGGTGCTTGATAACACAAAACTGAAATAGCTTGACAGAATAATAAACTCTTCTGATTTAGTGTGATCTAATTAGCGAAATGCATATTCCCTAATATAATTAAATAAACATCTTACATGTAATGTTGACTGATATCTACATGGATAACAGCTTAAGTTGAATTATTAGGCAGCCTTCACATTTGAACTGGAGTCCTGTGATTTATCTCTCTGGTTTTCTACCAAATGTTCTTTGAGACCCAATCGTTAAACCTTAATTTTACCAAGAGTTGTGATTGAAAAAGTATCCCTGATCATTTTTAAAAGTTAACGACTGTACTTCTATACAACTTAATTTTACAAATTGGATTACCATTATGCGGTGGATTTACACATGAAAACTATGCATATACAATCAAAGGCGTAGTTCTCCCAGTACATAAAAGTATAATTCTTATAGAACATTTTTTACGTTTTGAATGCTGATGTCCAATGCAATGTAAAGATGAGTAAGATTTTAGATTGAGTCTTTTGAGGATATTTGTTGCAAAATGTGCAATCTATTTTATTTTTATACATGCATAATAATTTACTCCGATAGTACAACAAAATAATCACTATGATCTTAAACACCTAAATGTGTTTTATGCTACCATAAAAAAGGTTGTGGTATTTGTATCTTAGCGTTTTTATTTATAGATTATACTTCTTGTCATATTATGTGCGAACATGTTCTTAAATTCTCCCCATGATCATACAAACTTCATCAGCGGGCTCAGATAAAAGTAAAACTTATTTGGAGTGATTTAGTAACCAGTCATTTTATATATTGAGTAGATATGAAAACAAATTACCTACTTCTTTTCTGTATTCGTTTCTTTCTCGAAAACTTACTAATATTAACCTTTGTAACATTATTGTATATACCATCCCAACCAAACTACTGAAGAGTTCCATATTTTATCACAATAATTTTAAAGTAGGTCATTTCTCACTTTTAAAGATTCACTTTTGTAAACAATTTCCTTTCCATTGACTGTTAGAATTTTTTCCAGAAATATTATTAGTCGTATGAATCTTTTATTTCCCTATTAAAGAACAGCTCATATTTTCCTTCCAACCATTGTATTACCAAATTTTGATGTTAGTCAGTAAAATTATTTCTCAGTTATGCATATTATTTCATAAAAATTTTACATCACCAATTAAACAGGTTTGACAATCAAACTTCACTCCCATGTGTGAATGTTAGTCAGTTATCAGACCCTTTACCCATTGTATTGTACAGATTGATTAAAGGGACTTCATTTTCAAAACTTATCGTTGTTAAAATCTATATGATGTTTCTGATAGCGGACCAAAAATCAAAACAGACCCGATTTAGTATATCACAGTTCCAATTAGTAGTTGATCAATACTGTTGACATGCGCTTTTTTTAAATGTCATTTATAATTAACCGACTCACTATTGGTCTGACTTTACTACGTAACATGTACAATTAACCAATCAGATTTAGTATTGCTTTCTCAATCTGGTTACTATTAGAAAGCCAACCTAATCAATATCATAATCAGTCACGTCATGTATCTCCGTCTATCTACAAATGAATTCCGTATCAGTACGTTGTTAAATAAATTAAGCTCACTAAATAAAATAATTTATCTATCGACAGATTTAACTGTTATATAGAAAAAAGCAACGATTCATATTCTTCTCCTAAGACTACATTGGTAGTTAGTGTACTGATAATAATTTTGAAATGGTTTTCATTTGATGATAAGTAATTGTGATTAAAAAAAATGTGTTCTGAAAATTTGCTGAGTCTGAGTCTTCATAATCTACTTTCTACTCAGTTTTATCATATTACATTTTAAAGATAAACTTGTGTATGTATTACATTAAAATCATGCTATCATACTTTTTAATGGTGACTCTCAGTTGTACATTTAAGAATTTGTTAAAGATAAGTAAATTTTAGATTTATTTTTAACATGAATATGTTTACTATTTTTGTAGATATTTTGAGGTTCATTATTTTCAATAAGGAGTGAAGGCAAAATAGGGATTACGTGTCTTTATTTTAAAAATAGTCGATAAATATCATCTGTAACTTGTATAACTTTCTGAGATTTCTTTTACTTATGGAGGTTATTTATTTAAACTGTTTTTGGAAAATCCAATGTATCTCATTTTTCATGTGTATATAATAAATATTCAAAGTTGAAACTGTGACAGAAATAGTATTTGGAATGCAGGTGTCGAGGCTTCCTGAGATAAATTCTAGTTATTTTTTGTCTCTTCTACATATCAGTCACAAGGATATTTAGTTCATGCCTACTATTTCAGTGTACTGTTCAATAACAAAATGCATATAAAATAGCTTTCCGACGTTTGAAATGGTTTATCTCAAATTAGTGTTTTCGTTTTCAAATTATTCGATGGATTCAGCCATATAGTTTCATTAGTTTAAACATAATATACTGCTATATATCTACCATGAATACTATCCAGCCCAAAAACTAAATATCAATAGTTAAATTAATGAGTCGATCTAAACTAGACCACCATTGGGAGCCTGGAAGCACTGGACGGTCGTTTTGACTTAGTATGGGACCCTCGGTCTCGCGGGCCAACGCTTAACCTCTATACCACTGAGCAAGCGTCCAACATTGTTAATGTCTAAATTCAACCAATCTACGATATCGCACCACCGTTCAACATTATCTTTAGTGGGTAACTGCTTCACAACAGGTACGGTTGAACTCTACTGTTCACGGCTTCTCACTAGAACTCCAGGAAATACTCCTTGAAGCCAGTCACTAGTGAACACAGGATGATTATTATCAGAATAGGGGTTTTGTGGAGACTAGTAATCTTAATAATTCGATTCATGAGTCGAGACCGAAGGTCCTGGATTCGAGTCTCACGTGCAGGACCATAGATGAGCACTGCTGAGGAGTCCCATACTAGAACGAAATGGCGACCCACTGCTTCCAGGTCTTCAATGCTAGTCTATATATATATAACAATTTAGCATTGCACGCTGAGATTTTAGATTTGACAAAAATAACTTCTGTATCTAGCTTTCATAATGTAAATAATCTACTGATTTAGAAAGTTTTCTATCTCTAGATCAGTATTCTTGTGATGTTTTTTAATTGCAATTAATACATACAAATGAAATATGTTGTATCAGTGGAACAAATGCAACATCATGTTTGTCTATGCAGATAAATATTTTCATAATACCTCATTTCATGACATTCATCATTGTTTATTCAACTAAAATCTGTTTAGCTAATTAAAGTAACGACCAATCTTTTATGAGAGTGGGGTAGTCACTTTATGTTTAAAAAAATTTATGTAAAATAATTAAGACTCCAATAACGTACAAGTTTTTGTTTTATGTCCCTTCTAGAATGTCGATATCACTTTATCAATAATCATTGTGCTATATTCCATGTGTTATTCTCATTTCTGGATACTGTATTACTATTTAGCTTGTGTTTCCTTAAATCTCTAAATTATCTCCTTCACGTTATCTATCCACGTATTGTATGAAAAGCTGTAGTAACAGTTGTCATTTTTCTGACATTCATCATCCTTGCATGATATTTGTATTTGCTATTATTCTCTTTGAGCGTATTGCTGAATTAATTAAGCTGTCAGTCAACTAACCTTTTCCAATTATTTACTTCCCATTTGAATTGAATTTCACAATTTTTACTTGTTTTTTTTCACTGAAAGCTATTTCTGTTAAGTCGGATAGATATTTTGTCCATAATTAATTCAATCTTGAACTATATCACTGACTAATGTAAGCCTAAATAACTAAGGAAATTCGGAATTCCCAATGGTCACAAATATCCCTTACTGTTGAGTTGTTAACAAATACTTCGATGGATTCTGATCAATTATTTCTAAATATGGAAATAAATCAAACTATAGTACCAATTATATCAAAATAAAGTGTTTTAAGGTCATTTTTCCTGGATAGACTAAAGCGTCTAAATTAAGTGTAATAGTGTAATCTATCCAGATTATTGCTAAAAGTATGCATCACTCAATTCATGCTTGCACAAAATTAATTTGCTGGAAATTAAAAATATTCAATAAAATGAATGCCATTACTTTTTTAAAATTGTTTAATGAGTTAAATGATAAAATTCTATTTTAATTAACTTAATAATTGTGGTAATTACTGCACTGTTGAAAGTTTCTGTATCATGGCGTGATTAATTGCTTTGATTTCAGGACGTTGTTTCTGATATAACGGGATAAAAAGATAACATTATTTGGGTCAGTATCTTTTGTGTCAGATCGGTATAAACTTGGTTCAGTACATTTACTTACGCCTGTTACTCTTCATGAAGGGGCATAGTCCATCCACCAGCATCCTCAATCCAACCCTGTCCTGGGCAATCCTTTCTAGTTGCTATTCATCTTTTTGATGTCTGCTTCCGATTCTTGGTGTATTGTAATCTTTGGCCTTCATCTTTTTTGTTTCCCTTCAGAATTTCAAGTTAGGGCTTGCCTCGTCATGCAGTTTGGTGATTTCAGTATTGTACATCCTATCCAATCCCGTTGCTTTTTCCTAATTTTCTCTTTAGCCGGAAGATAGTTTTTTCTCTTCTACAGTAGGTTGTTGCTAATGGTATCCGGTCAACGGACATTGAGTATTTTTCGTATACAACTGTTTATAAATAATTGTACCTTTTTGATGATAGTTGTGGTAGTTCTTCAAGTTTCAGCTACGTACAGTAGACCTGTCTTGACGTTCATATTGAAGATTCAGACTCTGATGTTGGTTGACAGACAGTTGTTTTGAGTTCCATATGCTGTTTAACTGTAGGGATGCGGCCCTTGATTTGCCAAACCTTGACTTCATACCTGGATCAGATTGTCCATGTTCGTTGATAATGCTGCCCAGGTACATGAAAGTTTCCACCTCTTCCGGAGCTTCTCTATCAAATAAGATTGGGTTGGTATCCTCCGTGTTTTATTTGAGGATCTTTGTTTTTTCCTTGTGTATGTTAAGGCCTACTGATGCAGAGGCGTCTGTTATACTGGATGTCTTGACCTTCATTTGTTCGTGTGTATCGGATAGAAGGGCTTAGTCATCCATTCGTCTAGTTGCAGGCAAGCTATCCATTGTATTCCGTGCTTCCTTCAGCTTGACACTTATATTTCTTATATCAATTCAAGTTAATCATATTCAGCGTATGTTTCCAGTATATTTTCCCCTATATATTATATTATCGTGTGTAAAAATCAGTAAATAAATTATTTTATTTCAATCTAATAATAATGTGATTTCGAAACTTCTCTGTAAATGTATTTCTGCGGAGTCAATAAATCTTTATTGCACTAGTCTTTTATGTTCTTACTTTGCGTCGTGAAAATCTCAATGGTTCCCGATTGTCAAGTACAAGTAATAAGGAAATAAAAGAAATAATACGTACAGAACAGCGACGACAATTCCAGATATAACCATTTTCATAGATTATCTGATTTTTATTTAATAGAAAACTATTCCTTTTTCTCTTTTATTTATACGTAAAATATTGTAGTCATTTGTTAAATACATACTGATAAATCTGATTTTATGTCTACATAATTTAATGTAATAAATGATTTCTCATTAAACCAGTATGATCGGACTCAACTTTAATTATTTAATGGGATGACAAATATGGAAATTGTCATATGTTCAACTACGTTTTACATTGCTTCTTGATCAACAAAAATTGATATATCAGTGTTATATTATTAATATTATTATTATCGTTATTATTATCAAATAGCTTCCAGAGATAATGTCTAACTTATGAAATATCAGTTACTATTTTCAAATTATTAATGTTGTTTACATACAGACACGAATTTGTAACTTTTATACCTAAAGAAAAGAAATTCCTTTTAAGATATTTTTTCTAATTTTGTTGGATTATTTATCTGTAAAGTATTAAGTGCATGAACCTTTTTTTGCGGGGTAATAAAATACTTGTTCCTATGGGAAAAAAAACCTTAAAATGATTTTTTTTTTAAAACGAATTTAGATTAATTATTATACATTCATTTACACACAGGACAGATTGTAGTGTATATCTACTGACTGAAAGTAAATTCAAGTAACTTGATCATCCATTCATCAGAAATAGATGGAACACTTTTAAAATGTTACTCATTATGTTAGAATGATTGTTTTTTACAAATAAATCACTTTATTAAAATAATTGTCTATATATGGTTAAAATAATAAATAAACCAGTGATTTATTTTGTTAAACCATCTTTACTAGTACGGTAATAGACTCAATGTATCTAAATATATAATTATTACCTTTTATTTACTGTTTCGTTTACTTTCTATATTGTTATTTAAAGTGGATTGTGGTTTTCTAATATGACTAATTAATGTTTTAAATAAGTGAGTGAATAAAAATAAAACTTATTATCTCTATATATTCATTCATTTTACCAACAAACAAAATTGATATAAATAAGAAATCCATTTTAAAACAGATTACACTTTATTGAGATAAGTAATAAATTGGATCTTTAGTATTTATTACATAAACTAAAGCTATACATCAGTCAATCAATCAACAATGAAATTTATATTACACCTTATTTACCAGTAAATTTAAGATGGTAGTTCATGGTTTAAAGAATATATATATATATATATATATATATATATATATATATATATATATATATATATATATATATATATATATATATATATATATATATATATATATAATTTTTAGTAAGGGTTTTCATTATCCTGTAGTTGATATTCATAATTAAATTTCGATCTATCTTTGTTGGCATATGCGCATTCTATACGATTTAGCCGCTGTATCACAAGTGTTTCGGAAAAAAACGGATTATTGTTAGCAGTAACATCGAGGATTGGAGTTTTTGTCCTATTTAGTATTCGTACAGGCTATAAATATACCAACAAAGATTGATCAAAATTCAGTCCTAAATATCAGCGATAGGGTGTTTCAAACTCTTGCTAATGATAACATTAATATCTTATCTGTTGAAGAAGTTAGTGGCCACTTGAACTGGATAGGTTTTGGAATTTTAATCAAACGTTACTGTGTTCTGATCCAAATGTAAATGCCAACACAGTGATGTAGATATATATATAGCTTAAATAAACGTACCTAATGGTTCCTACTGCTAACTACAATCCGTTCACTTTAAAAAACTTGTGACACGTATGTCTTTAGTGGGAGGTAAATGAAAGGATTGTAATGTGAATATATATATAAATTGATTGCGGTGAAATATGATTTCGTTAATTAATTGCTATGCAAAAATCCGGTCACGAATCTTTCCGCATAAATAAAGGTAGCCTTTACTCTTCAAAATAGGTGATCTTCGAAACACAAAATAAATAATTGATACGAATGTAGTGAACTAAAACACAGATGGTGATAGCTAGTTTATTATTTAACGCAAAATTACAGTTCTTTGCTAGAGTGTGAAAACCATATATTAAATACTTCATTTGCAAATCTTCCATCAATTGTCCTTCACATTCCGTATAATTCTTCCAATTCTCAATTCCTTTCTATCTTTGTTTTTGTTTTCCTCATCTCGATCTTTTTAGCCTTCTGCTGCTAGGCATTCCACTTCTGATTGGTGCTGCATACCACTTATATCTGTCGACATAAGTAGCTTACACCACACAATTACCTCTAGTACATATATAAATATATAAGTTGACAAAATAAATCTTCTAAAAAATTCTATCTTATAGCGTATCGCCAGATCATTCTACAACTGTCCGAATCTTGATGGTGTCGAGTTAGAAGATGAGGATGATGCAGGAGTGTATCTAACACACTGGGAGAAACGCCTTTTAGAGGTATGTTTTACTAATAAATGCATCTATTAGAAAAATGATAACCAGTAAGCTCATAATATCTAGAACAACATAAAGTTGTAGTACTTATAATTTATGTAGTATCCAAATCTAAAAATGAATGGTTAAAATGCTGTGGAGCACTTAAGGATTTTATAGTAAATGCAATTAAGGATGAAAATTAAGCTTGAATACTATTTTATTGTTTGGTGATGTTTAGAATATCATACAATTAGACATCTATAACTAATGCATATAGCCAATTGACTAAGTCCTGTGATTACACCTCGAAACGTAATCACATGTCACAGACGATAAATTTCACGATAGTCGTATTCCAAACGATTAAATTGTTGTGTCAGTATCCTTAACTGCAGATTTGTTCTTCCTATGAAATTGAACTATTTCGTCATTCTTCAACAAATAACCATCAAGTATTCATGATCAACTATTTCTCTCGGGATCAATTGTTAAATCTCCGTGAATATTTTAAAATCCATCAACTCAAAAATCACAATAGTACTTGTTTTGTTCGTATTTCCGTAGCTTGTTGTTTATGGTTTATGTCTTAGATACTAAGTTACTTATGAGTAGTTACATTTTAATTTCTAAATTTTCAAACATTTTTAAAGAATGATTTAATGACGGCAACATACACAAATTCTTTTCGAATTTCACCGATTACTCTGGCAATGATGGAGGATACCGGGTAAGTTCATTAAGTTCAAGTGGCTCTAAACCCTTTGTATTCTAAATTTATATCCCTAAGAGTTGATTACTTTTTCTCCCCTTAATAAAACGTTTAAATCTCAGTGCTTTAAGACAATTATGTGATAATCACTTAAAATTAGCCTACAATTCCTAGATCCTATTCAAATTTTTCAATGCTCATTGTATTATATGTAAATACTCAACATTACAACAGTTCATTTGAAATATACTGTATGAAAGTCCGACACTTAATAGTCAGTTGTGAAGGTGTGATGTGATTAACGGGATAATTTTGTTTGTCAGTTAACATAATCAGTAAAGAAATTTTCGAAAAAAAAGAAAAAATTACTTTCTAACTACGCTCTTGGTTGTAGAGATAGATTATCGGACTGATTCTATTCAAAAGAACTTTTTATGTATTGAGTTTCAGAATCTTAAACTCAAAATCTCAAACTTCACTCATCATAATCTGGTTTTCACGTTATTGAGAAAATATTTTCTGACCAGTTGAAGGTTAATAAAAGTATCTCTTTACCTACAAATTCATTGCAAATGGTAGATTTGTTTAACTAATATCGTAAATCATCGATGAACTTAGTTACACATATATACTTTAGCATGATTTCACCTGGTGACTGTAAACAAACTCTTTCAACGGTATAGTACAATTAAATAGTTAAAACTAAGAATGAATATCAACAGTTTGTTTGCCAAATAGCTTTTCAAAGTTCTTCAATTATAACAATGGATCATACTTTTCAAATGAATTCCAATGATTGATGAGGGAAACAGAATTTTGTGCTCGTTCTTAATATCCTAACAAATTCGTTCGTAGTTTTATGTAGTTTCTTAATGTTTTCAGACACTACATTTTCAAAGTATTTGTTTGGTTTTCAACAGACTGTTTGCTGAGCTAAACATCTAATCAACAAATGACCGGGTTTAACTGTTATAATTTACCATTAGTCATGCTATTTTTGATCTCTTGAACTGTGGGTTGATTGGCTTTCGTATAATTGTTAGTGGAACTTTTCACCTGAATCCTTAAAATTGTGTAATAAATAATTAACATTCTCGTCACTCCTAGATCTTCTGAAGTAGAAGCTTAAGAAACCTTTATTTTGTACATTCATATTTAATTTTCTAGTAGAAGCAATTTACAAACGGTTTACAATTTTGATTTTTTCTTCATTTAAGCTGGTACATCCCAAACTATGCATTATCTCAGTCTTTCAGTTGGGGTAGAGGTCGAGGATGTACCTTTGCTACTGGCAGTTGTTTAGAATACATGCTAGAACAAAGTCGTGGGTAAGTAATTTGATGTAAAACTTTCGCTATTCAATATTTACACTAATGTTGAATGTTTACAGGTTAGTGGATTATGCATTTGATTAATCTGAGAATAGTCAACATAAACGATCGAAATAACCCAATCGTTATTGACGACTTTGGAGATCTGTACAGATCAGTTGGAATCATTGGACTAGAGGATTGTATGAAAATGCCTGCTGACAACACAATAGTCCATTATCGAATCGTGACCTCTTTGACTTAGTTGAGAATCCCATCAAAAGATACCGATTTCCATTCTTGTTGAGGTCTTGGTTGTGCATTACAGGAGAAGCATCAAATTAAGTCATGACATGCGGACAATGTGCTTTTTTTAAGTCGTTCTTCAGTGATTAGAAATCACGGCTAAATTAATTATTAATTATTACTGAAGTCAGACCACTTTATATTTTGACTTAGAACTAAAAATTGCAAAATTAAAGCTTCCATCTAAGGACTGATTTATATAATGGAAGAGAGTTCAATGAATATCAATCTGATAATAAACTGTAACATAGATCTTCATGCATGGTTTGATTACGTACTTCGGCTTGATAAATCCCTTGAACAATTATCAGTTGCATAAAGCTTTGAGGAAGCACTTTAGTGCTCCATATAGAATTTAACATATTCATTGGGTGGACTCAGTTGAATTACTATAGCATATAGACGTATTCAGTAGCAAAATAAGCTTTTCTGAATAGTTTGTTTTATGTTGTACATATGTTTAATGGATCTAATAAGCAGGATATTTTCTACTGTACTTATTGACAAGGCAAACATAAAATGATAGACTTTTACATTTGAGTTGTAACGATACTTTGGTGGCATAAGTTCAAACGGTTCACTCTTAGTGAACTATAAAATATATTTGGAGTTTCTTTAACCAAACCACTTCTTATACGAACTTGTCCCAAAATTTTGGAATAAGATATTGAATAGAAATTTCCTTATAAACAGATTTACACTTCTAAACAACTTTTACTTAAATGTATTTTGAAGCGAATAGTTTGCATGACACCGTAAATTTTTAGTTTTCATAACTAAATTATGAAGCGTATTGTGTTTTCAGAAGGGGTTTTGTGGATATTATAGCAATATTATTATTTGAGATTATGCTAGGGTTGAAGCTATCACGAGTTCACTTAATCTGCGAACGAGAAACAAGACTCGGTGACCAAAGACCATTAAGCTAGCTATTGATGCGTCCCAGCCCCTCTAACTAGAGGGAGAAGTCCAATCTTGGAATGGGGAAGTATACTCTGCAAACAGCCAGAAATGAGCGATAACAACAATCCAAAACGTATATATACAGTAAAAAACTGTCCTTGGGGAGAGTTACCAAATAGCATACTAAAAGACCCAACGGACCAATAGTGTTTAAGATATTTCCCAGTGGGAAATACGACATGAAGGTGACAAGAGCGCCTTTGGCGCGAAAATAAAGAAATTCAAATTTCCTCTCCATCTGTCGCTCCAAAAACCTTGTTTTACGTGCGTTTATCCGGGGACCCTGTGGCATCTCCGTCTGGTCTTGCAGGCGTTGGTGTCGCACTAAGCGCTAGAGCTGAGGCAGCACTAATCGTTCGAATCCCCATTAACAGTCGGTTATGTGCTGTTAGATTAGAAAGTTCCATCAAAGTGAGAAGAAATCGGTGTGTGAAACGATGTCTTTTCGTCATCTCCGCCTATGCCCCGACAGATTGCAGCCCGGATGCAATCAAGGATGAGTTTGACCACCAGTTAACTGTTTTTCTCCAGGAAGTGCGTTCGACAGATATTGTAGTACTAGCCGAAGACTTGAATGCTCAGGTCGGGCGTCTAGGCACAGAAGAGAGTCGTTTAGGTGGCCGATGGGGACTTGTTGGTCACAGGTCAGATAACGGGGACCGTCTACTCCAACTCTTGAAACGCCACAAATCACCTGACCCAGATGACTTACTTCCTGCCCTTTTTAAAGATTGTGGTAACTTTATGACTAAGGAACTGACGACGTTGTTTACAAAGGTCTGGGAGCTAGAGAGTGTACCAACGTCATGGAATAAGTCGATAGTTGTCCCTATCTTTAAAAGGGGTTCACATCTTTTCTGAAACAACTATCGGGGGGATAAGTCTATTTCGATTGTGTCCAAATTATTGGCTTCCGTCATACTTCGTAGGTTGTTCAAAACCCGAGAAAGATTGACTCGCGAGGAGCAGGCTGGTTTTCGTTCTGGTCGAGGATGTATTGATCATATCTTCACCCTCCACTAAATGTTAGAACACCGTCATACTTATCACAGACCAACAAATGTAGTGCTAATTGATATCAGGGCTGCCTTCGATTCGTTGGATAGGGCTGTTCTCTGGGATTGTCTATTGAAGAAGGGTGTGCCTGAGAAGTTTATTAACATCCTAAAAGCCCTATATACAAACACCTCAGGCAGAGAAAGGGCATACAACCACCTTTCTCCATTGTTCCATTCGAGCAGTGGGGTTAGACAGGGTTGCCCAATCTCACCATTCCTCTTCAACTTTGCCATCGATGACATTCTGGAAACAGCTCTGATGGATGTAAGTAATGGTGGTGTGGATCTGTTGCCTGGAGAAAGACTTCTCGACCTTGAGTATGCGGACGATATTGTCTTACTGTGCGATAATCCCCAAGGCATGCAATCCACACTTAATCAGTTGGCAATCAGTGTCCGTAGGTATGGTATGAGCTTTGCACCTTCGAAGTGCAAAGTACTTCTACAAGACTGGCAGGATCGTAATCCTGTACTCACCCTGGATGGTGAGCAGATAGAAGTAGTCGAGATGTTCGTGTATCTGGGTAGCTGCATAAGTGCTGGTGGGGTTGTGAGTGATGAGATCAATGCACGTATAGTGAAAGCCAGAGCGGCTCATGCCAATCCGGGCCATCTTTGGCGCCTTCATAATGTTAGTCTGGCCGTAAAAGATCGGATCTACAACGCGTCGGTGAAAGCAGTTTTGCTCTATGCTTGTGAAACCTGGCCTCTCCGAGTTGAGGACGTTAGACGACTCTCTGTGTTCGATCATCGTTGTCTCCGAAGGATTGCTGACATCCAGTGGCAACACCATGTCAGTAATGCAGAGGTCCGGCATCGTGTGTTCGGGCACAGAGACGATAATGCAATCGGTGTCACCATCTTGAAACACCGACTTCGGTGGCTTGGACATGTTCTACGAATGTCGTCCCAGAGAATTCCACGTCGTGCATTATTTGCCGACTCTGGAACTGGTTGAAAAAAGTGGAGAGGTGGTCAGTGCATGACATGGTGTCGTGGTATGAAAGAAAGCTGCAAAGGACTGGCTTGTGTTGGTCCTTCACGACTCTCTGGTTGGGGTCCGAGAGATGGTGCTACACAGTGGCTAGAGACGTTATCAGATATGGCTCAGAATAGGAGCCAGTGACGATCCTGCTGTAACCTTCTTTTACTTTCTTCATAAAAAGTGGTTGTGTCTCCCTTACCTGAAAGATTTCTTCTGATTGTACTCTTCTGTTCCCCTACTATTACTATGATTATTACACTACCTTACACCAATCTCCTCGTTATTGTTCTCTTTTTTACGCTCCTTACCCTTTTTTCTCCTCGAATTCTCTTTGTTTTGTGTGGCGCATATATATTGGCGCTCTCTTGTACCAATATTTATGTGCTCAAATAATAATAAATAAAACACACCTCCCCGTTTTAATAGCGTACTTTCCTGGGTTCGACTTGCATCTTGACTGTTGCTCGCTGCTGTCGGAGAGGCCACCTTCTGGGACGGTGATAAGCTTGTTGTTGAACTTCTTCTCGTGGCGGTGCTGCTGGTAAGTTGAAAGTGTTAAGCAGCATGTCAAGGGGAAGATTTACTTCTGTTGATGGGCGGTCTGGGGCTATCCGCTTTCGTTGTTGGTTTCGGTGTCTAGTCCATGTGTCTCTTACCACCTTTACCTCGTACATAACTTGGACTAGTTTTCTAACCGCACGTGATTCAGTCCAAGGACCACGATTTGCTCTGTAGTCTCGAACGAACACCGGTCATCCAACCTCTTACTCTGCCAGCTTCTGAGATTTGGTCTGAGAAGATGTGTTTTCATTTATTTTTTAGTATGTGAATTCAGGAAGTTGACTTTCAAGAGTTATTATATTAGAATATGAATATCTCACAATCGCTGCTAATTATGTAAATTTTTTCTCGTATATTTCGTAAATTACATAATACTTTAATACGTGGATTAAACAGAAGGTAAACTATCTTCGTTCACAAACAAATATCCTTTGGGTATGAATTAACGTAATTTGTTTTCTTTTCCTTTATATAGTGGTCATCCAATTGCACCGTTTTGTCAACAGTTAACTTCAAGCTTTCACAACAAAAATAATGGATTACAGGTTAGCTGTACACCTGGTGAAGAAAGTTATGGATTTTGTAACCTAATTGAATATTCCAAACCATTGCCTGGTGAATATGTATATTTCGTTAATACAAATTTCTCGACTGTTACATTGAATTCTGAAATCAATCTAGGTACTGGAAACTTAACTAATCAGTATCCTTTGGTTAAATTAGGAGGAAAAATAGCTTTGGCTAATTACTGTCCATATCATCAGGTTTGTTAATTAAATTATTTAATTTAATTATACTGTTAATAAAATCATTCACTTAGAGAGTATTATGTAATTGTCAATGTGTGAGAGTTAAGCATTTTTGTTATTGGGATTTTTAACGGTATAACAATTAAATGGACAAAACTATAGAAAGAAAACTCTCACTTGTTGTCTGTTGATTTAGCATCATTATTTCGGGTATTTAGATCCATGATATAAACATAGTTAAAAAAGTGTGAAGGGTCTAAACTTTAGTGTACATGTAAGTAAAATCCAGTTGTATAAACTAAATTTGATCCTTAATTGAGAAAATTATATTTGAGTTTCTATCAAACTATTCATTTAAATATTGACAAATATTCGTATAAAATATATCTGATTCTAACTGATTTTTGGTATTGGTTGTTTGAATCCTTCCACTGATGTTTAGAACTGCAGTTAATCAGTCACTTATTCGCATATGTGCATCATGTGCGAATTTCCTAGATATTGCCTTAAGTTCATCTCTGTTTATATGATTCTGTTTGAGAGTTTCCAAAAACATACATTCGGTGGCTACTTAAGATTTTCTTAACTATAGTAAAACATGGTCTAAATATGAAGACCAAAAATTCACTTAATGTGATATTTAAACACAGAATCATGACCTAAATGTTCACATGACATAGACGTAATCAGACTTATTCTGATTTTGATTTCGACTAGATTAAATATTCCGCCTTGTTCCTTTATACTATTTATTTCGGTTATCCATTTATTTACTTTGAAATATTGGCTTACATTACGTTACGAAACATCAGAAATTCGAATTCCTACTCATTGGGATATCACAAATATATTATGGGTTTTTTTTATCTTCATTGAATGTTTTGCCTCAATACATTTAATTGCATCAGAAAGGGTTTTGTGGAGATTTTAGTCATTTCAGTAGTTGTGGTCATGAGTCAATTTCTATTCACTCTTATATAAACATTTTTTGTAGGAAATTGAATGGGAAGATGATGTAGGAAAATCAATTGCTAATACTCATTGTCATGCATCAACTAATTTGAAAGGTAACTTAAATTAAATCTTGTTTACATTTACACTTCATTTTAACTTATAGTAAAATTTATATAATGTTAAATTAATAAATCAAATTCAATATTGTCATTATTCACTTCATTTTTAAAAGAAGTATATTTTAAATCATATGACAATCAAATTAGTTTCTATCGAACAATTGCCAAGTAATTTCATTAACTGAGATCATGAGTCAATTGAAACTAAAAAAAGCCTGGAAGCAGTGGACGGCCGTTTTGTCCTATTGTGGGACTCCTCAGAAGTTCTCAGCCTCGATTCCGTCTCGCGAGATTCGAACCCGGCCGTCTAGTGTTTCCAGGTTTTCCATAGTGGTCGGGCTTCAATTGACTCATGGCCTCATTTATTAATATTACTACAGTATCCACAAAACCCTTTCTGAAATTGCCAAATAGTTTTGTTTCTGTATTCTATTTGTATTAAATTACTCAATAGACTAATCGGGTTAGTCTCTTTTTTTGTACTGTTTCAATTTATCAACTGAATTGTTTATTATAGCCAGGATATCAGTTTATACGAGCTCAAGATGAACTATTTGTTATATTTATTAGTAATATCTGTTGCTTTTTTCCTCTTGATTTCTCCGAATGAACTAACAAAAATATTAAACTTTAAATGGGATAGTTTTCATTTGATTGTTTTGTTTCATTGAATGTTTTGAAATAAACTACTTTTAATGATAATTAATTTCACTCGCTTCTCATCAAGTGGTTTCATTTGTTTGGAAGTATTGGTGATGCTTTTTGTAATTGAATGGACGAAAGCAGAATGACAGCAAGTGAAACCATTCAGAAAAAATTGTAGTATATATCAGAGATAGATTAGGATACTGGATATTTCTTTCGTAACACATAGTTATTATTGAGAAGGAAGTAAACTTCAATCAAATTGTTGGTCCCAATTGGATTTAAAGCTGAAGTCAACTTTATATTATGTTATTTATAAATAGCTCAATACAATTCATAAGCTTTTTTCCCATATTTATAGGGTACTTGAAAATATATGACCATAATATTCGCCTCCAAATAATTGATAAATATGTGGTGTTGATTATCTAATTAAACTTCTTTGTCAGTATGAATTCATTCAAAGTTGTGTATTGTGGTTTATAACGATTTCGGCTTTTCATTTCTCTCACAGACCTAGATTACCTCACAAACTGGTATGGGCAATTCACTTTTCATTCGTTTTTTTGCTTATTTCACAGATCCACATCACAACTTTAAACTTGAACGATTTGGTATGGATTCTGTTTGTGTAGAGCATAGTCCCAACTGGTATTTAATTAATGGAGACTCCTTATTTGTTCCGCCAGTGGAAGGAGCTGGATGTTACACAGTATGATTTGAAAAATTTCCCCCCATGATTATGTCTAACGCGCTTAACCTTCTGAACACTGTAGAACAGCAAAAGACCTCGTTTTCAGTTTTACCCTCATTTATTCAGTATATGAAATCACTTTGTAACTATTCTTTATTGAAGTGCAACGCATTTGTGCACATTCATTTGTTTCATATATATTACTGCAATATTATGATAGTCACTTTCTTATTTTATCTAATGCGTCACACTGGTGAAGAGCATATCTAAAATACTGAAAAATTTCATACGTCCTTTGTAATCTATGAGTTTTCTAGCTATTTAGTAAGATTTTCATATTCTATAAAAGTATTCATGTGAAGCCTAATAATTATTTCTGTACCAAAATTATTGGTTGTTATTAAGAATGTATCATAAATATACGTATCTTTATCTTCTTCAAAATCTATCGTAAGCATAATTCATTTAAACTGTTCACAAAGTTAATATGAAAATAGAACACTCAAATCCTTCTGAGATCACTCTATATTAATTCTTTCTTTTTTAATCACTTCGATCTTATTTATAAACTTTAATAGTTCTTATTTAGCTTACTCTTTGCCCGTCATATTCTACATTTAGCTGTATTCTTATTTAGACAGTGTTTTTTATTACTTTTCCTATTTCTGAGAGCAAAGACCACTTTTTTATCGTATTTATAATTTAAAAGATTTGATTTTTGTTTAGATTTTACTTAATTTTTTAGACAATTTTTGGCTTCTTGTGCAAACTAATGACAGTCGAAGATTTATTTCAAACTTAAGGATGTCGTAAACTTTCCCATCTTATTCTAGGACCGTCAAGCACCCATAATAATCCCGTAGAAGTTAATTATAGTCAGTTTATCGATAGGCCAAAGATCATTAAACGTAGTGGTTAATAAATGTAGGAGAGAAGTTGTATGTATTTGGTTAGTAGATTATTAAAATTTGTTAGTAAGTTTAAAAAAGTTATAACCATAGTCATTCTTTAAAACATATTTTTATAGTTTACGAATATTTGTCGCCCTCTCTTAAATATTTAAATACATATTCTAAATGAAGAATCACGAACACTTTTAAAACCCTAGTTTCCTATTATCTTTCTTACAAACGTTATCATTAGGTATACGTATAATTTTTTTTCGAAAAATTTCAGTTCCGATGTTCAATGACTGAAGGTGGTTTGGTTTTAGAACTTGCTGGAGGTATGTCGATTCCTTGTGAAGTGCCAGGAGAACTTAGTGAAATTAACGCTTGTTTAACAAAACAAAGTCTTACTGTGAAAGGAAAACTTGTATGTCCCGATTGCAGATTACTATGTCCAGTAAGTAAGGACTATGGTCTTCTAAATTTATTTATTCCATCTGACCATTTTGTTATATCTTTTTTATAAATACGCTAATCGATATAGATATATATAGAAACATTTTTGAACAATAATGGTACACTTCTGTGGTGTTCGCTACCGATGTCGACAGATAAAAGTAGGATGTATTAATAATCGAAAATGCAATGTCTGGCTGTAAAAGGTTAAGAAGACCGAAGGGAAGAGAATGAGAACAAAGAATGATCGGTGTGGAAACGAAAGAACAATGAAGTCGATCGATTGACATTTTGTAGAAGGAACAGTCACGTTTAAGATAACTGATCAACAATTTGCAAATGAAGTGTTTACTGTATGGTTCTCAGATTTTACTAAGATGTTCTGTAATTTTGTATTCAAATACATTCGATTGTTCCCATTTGTGTCCTTGTTTACTACGCTTCTACTCCAGTAGCCGAATTTTCTTAAAGCCATGCTCTACAAGCGTGAAAGCGAAATGCATATTTAAGTTGACATGCTAGATGTAATTGATTCTCCGTGTCAGAATTGATACGCAACATGATCAAGCTTATGCGACTGAACACCACTAAAGTAATCCTCTTTAGTTAGAAAATTTTTTTTTCACTATCTTACTGTACTAAATATTGAGATTTTCTTTTATCATAATGTATCTATATGAGAAAGTGAAGATAATTTTTCTCACTGTATTTGAATTTTTTCTTTAAAATATTTATATTTTAGTTATCGGAGTGTCCGAAAATCTATTCCATTTCACAAAACAATGTGACATATCTCAGATCAAACTACTCCAACGATCGTTCGTCTTCGTTTTTGTATGAAACCAATATGTTTATACCTAAATCACGTACTATACAGTATTCTCAGTTAATTGTTAATGAAATTGAATCTACTGTTGAAAATCCATTATATATTGTTGAAAATTCTAAAAACTCTAAAGGTATTGTAATACAACAAGCTATTCTACCTGGTGCATGTTTAGTTAATATCGCTTACTCATCTACTTCTCTAACTTTTTCAATATTCACATACTTTGTAGTGTTTGTTCAATTATTCTGTTTATAAAATGCCTTATTCTTTATATGCCCACAAAAATATTTCCTACCAGTTATAGTTCATACTTCATTTCGTTATGCTTATAATTTCTTTTCACATCACAAGATCATAATTAATTATTTTTTTTTCCAAAATAAAATGAATAACAAAATGCATTTTCAATTTTAAAACATTCAAGAATACTTGTTTAAAGTTGTTCAAGAGACCATAGCAGTTGTTAGCAGGAAGCAATTTTCATTGTCGTTTACCCGAATTGATTAGTCGTTATTCTGAATGATTGGCAACAGCCATCACTCATTCTTGCACTGAAATTTTTAATTATGAATACTCATAAAGAAAATATTTCAGTAATGCTGGATAAGTTCATATTGTATTTAATCTAGTTAAATGGATCATTTTCAGATATTTCAGCTATTCATTGAAGCTTTGCGTTGGGTTCCAATTCGCACTTATCTGATAGGATAATGAATATCTACAGTTACGATTTATGGGCTCACGCTAGTGGTACCAGAATATGTTACGTTATGGCGTCTGCATATTATAACACCATGCCACTGCAATGTGCATATCATTTCAATGAATTTTTAAGCAGTCACAAACAAAGATACAAAGGAAATAATCATCGAATAGACTAAAGGATTCGATCTACTTTGACTAGACTTTAGGGTCCCATCATAGTAAGTGACGAAATAAAGAGGATAGAAGCAATGTAAGTAAATCGAGACTTGTTAACCGTTAGTGTAGTCGCTGATACGGTATCAGTAAAATAGCCCTAGTGGCTAGATATTTACAAAATCAAATTTCAACAAAAAGCTCGAATAAGCGATCAAGGAAATTCAATATAAATTAACAAAATGAGCTTCATAATCTTTTTAAGTGACGAGTGAATTCACTGATTATTATTGAATAAAAGTAAACACTTAATTGTAAGCTAATTTCATGTGTAAAAAGCTTTTATGAATCCTATACCTCACATTATCCATATTTTACTAAGCCTACATATAACTTGACAATAGCTAAATGTTTTGACACTTAACAGTATCAGTATTGCACAGTCTTTATCCAATATACAGTAAAGTAATTAAAGGTGAAAATATGAACCACTGAATTCCGTTATAGTTGTTTAAATACATTATGATTTATAAGAAACTACATGGTTTTTAGTATAACTTCATGTGATGTCATTAACTTAAACTACCAGTGAATTTCTAACTAGTTCGAAACAGCTATCCAATACAATCTAGTGTTCAGTTACTGTCCAGGTAATATCAGTCTATCATGAAGTTACCTTTTAAATAAGTGACTGATTTGAGTATGTAATACATACTCATTAATTTTTATCATTAACGTTTATTTTATTCATTTTTTTATCGTATGTACTAATTTCTGAGATTAGATGGTGGAAACCCTGGACCCTGGTTTCGTGCTACTTGGCACTCGTCAGCAAGGTGTACCTGTAATTTTGAGGGAACCGATGCTCCCTGGAGGATTCGATCCAGTGTCACCCAGTTTCACAGTCAGAGACGTTACCACTGTGCTATCCAGGCCGCGACTGACCTCCTGTAGAACTGAGATGTAATCACAATTGACTGGTCACTGGGTGGTGATCAATGTCATATGTGTCAAGTCCTCACAGAAATCCTATGACAATCACTTAGTATATTCATTGATATTTATACATAACTTACAATAAATGTTTATACGAATATTCGTCAAAATTAAAATGAATAGTTTGATTATATTTGAAATAATCTCAGCGATTAAACTTGAAAATAATTCCAACGTTTTGTCCAGCTAACTTATCTGAACTTCTTCAGGATGATAATCAACATCATCAAATAAATATATAACGTCTTACAATAAATGACTTTCTTATAAAAGGAAAACAATAGAATTAAAATAAGATTTAATTCCTCACATTGTTGATGATTTAGTTGTATCTGGTTCATATACTTATTTAATTAAGTAAGAATATCTCCTAGTTCTCAATAATATCTGATTCATTGCATTAAGTTTGGCTGTTCTTTTTTTGTTTTATTTTCATATATTTTCAAGAAGATTTGTTTACTGGTTTTTTTTTGTTTTTAAACATAGAAGTATTAAATATCGTATATATTAGAACAAGAATAGATCACATGACACAACAGAATGAAAGTTTTCATTGGTTTTGTTGTTGTTGTCAATATGATAAAAATAAAGAAATAATTCTACTAGTTCACACCTGTCAAAATATAAATAAATTGAATGAGGGGAGGGGGGAGAAATAAAATACTGTTTACTAACTAACTGATTAATTACATTTTGTAGTTATGTTTGTTTATTTTTTTTTTCTTTTTACTTTTCCCTATCTTTCCTATTCAACACAAAATTATTATTTGGTTACAAAAACTGAATTTATAAATAACTGTACTAACATATTTTTATTTTTTTAAAAAAAAAGAAAAAAAACAACGATACCCTATAAAATAAGGGTTAGTAAAGTTCATTCTCATCTCTTGACTTAAGTTTACTTTCTAATCTGTAGAGAATTTTTTTTTAATCAGAGACAGGGAATGTAAAATAAAAAAGAAAAGAAAGAATATTTAAAAAGATGTTGGCAAATAATTATTTAATGAACATGTGTTCATAAATTTATAGGGTTAGCATTAATTCTAAATATTTTTTTTTCTAAAAAAAAACAACAAATTTATCATAGTTTTATAAGTTTACCGACAGAAAATATGGTGTATCATTTTCATCGGTCATTATATATGATATATATGTATGCTGTATAAGCGTTTTGTTTTGATTAAAATACATTCTCCCATTTAATTTGAATCATAATGACAGTAGTATTTAAGATAATAATTACATCTTTTTATAATTGTGTTCAAACATGTTTACAACACTGGGATGGTGTTGTGTTTTTCTTTTTCTTTTTATATTCTTTTCTTTCAAATTGACTATAATATACATATATATATATATATATATATATATAGATTCTATATTTAAATCAACTCTACAGACCAATAATAAAATAAATTTTAGAAAAGCATTAAATGATTAGAAAGTTTGTTAGCATAATAATGTTATTGGTAGGAGAAAGAAATAACATAACACAACAGAGCATACAAACATTTCTGTTTAACATTTAAACTATTCACTTGTTTCATATATTTCGGTTGATGGGATGATGAGAGTATATATATATATATATATATATATATATATATATATATATATATATATATATATATATATATATATATATATATATATATTATATATATATATATATATATATATATATGGAAAAGCGAGTACAGTTAGTTCATAAAATAATTGAGTATAATTATGGTCTAATTTCAATGAGAATTATAAATAAATGGAATAAATACATCGGCACACATACATACCTATAGACAATTGTACAGACGTAAATTATCTTTGATTTACTAAAGCTTTAAATATTCATATAACAATAATAATGATAAGTAATTATTTGGTATTAATTTCATTAATGTGAAACATTAGATATGTTCTCCTTTTTTATAATAAACTAAAAATTTACTGGGGTAAAATGAAATTCACAATTAATTTGTTGGATATAGTTTTCAAGAGTTGAGATCATGAGTCAATTGAAGCTAGACCACCATGGAATACCTGGAAGCACTGGATGACCGTCTCGTCCTATTGTGGGACTCCTCAGTAGTACGCATCCACGATCCTGCACCCCGCGAGATTCGAACCCAGGACCTATCAGTCTCGCACCAAGCGCTTAACCAACTACACCACTGAGCCGGCATCCAACGGTGTTAATGTCTGACTTCAACTAATCCACGAAATTGAGCGACACATTCACCATTGTCACCCGTGAGTTACTACCTCACAACAGACCTGGTTGAACTCCACTGGTCACTGCTTCTCACTAGAACTCCAGGATATATCTCTTGAAGCCAGTCACTAGTGAGCATATGTTGATTAGTATTAGAAGGGGTTTTGTGGAGATTGTAGTAATTTCAAGAGTCGAGATCATGAATTTTATTATATTCAACAATGTAAATTGATGATTATTCATTTTTAATTAATTTAAACAGTAAATTATTTAACTTTATTGTAATTTTGAATAAATTTATCATAAAACATAAATGTTTTTGGATCCAGTTTCCTACAGGATATTCGATGTATACTATTAAGGAGTATAAAACTCAGTTGAAAGATATATTCATTTACTGTTCATTGAATATGAATAATTTTCTAATCATTATTAGTTCATGATCAAAACTGTTTTTAAATTGAAGAATGATTTATCTATAATCTTGACTGTTCGAAATGAAGTATACAATTAAAATGGTGATCTTTACAAAACAATGTTATCTGACATTTTATACATAATTTAATAATCTATTTAATGAAAATTTAACTGGATTTTTGATTATTAATAAAACTTCATTGCATTGTTTGTCTGAATTTCTATAGTAAAAATGAATAAATTTAGTAGAAAACCACTTTAAAAATAGAAAAAAAATGTATGTAAACACTTTCAACTCATTGATTATAATTTCAGTGGTTTATATGATGAGTCAATTTAAGCTAGACCACAATGAAAAACCTGGAAGCATTGGACGGCTGTTTCGTCCTATTGTGGGACTCCACAGCAGTGTGCAACCACGATCCCGCCTTGTGAGATTCGAGTCCAGGACCTGCGAGCGCTTTATTTGAGAAAACGTCTTATATCACTACGGACCGTTTTATATATTGTCATGGAAATCTTGAAAATTGTAGTGAAACACATACTGTAAAGATTAAAGTCAAATTTCTGATATTATTATTGTTAATGGCTATATTCAATATTATATTTTTGGTACAATATAGAATTCTTAGTACGAGGTATTTCAACAAGTTTCTTTGACAAACACAAAAAAGAGAAATGTTAAAAAAAGGTCTGAAACTGTACAACTTTTCAACTACAAATATGTTTAAGAATACAGATTATTGACTAGTTTAACTCTACCAACCTGTCCGTC